AGTGTCTTTAAGACAATGTAATTTTTCATGTGCTTTGTGTCTTCTCAAGTGTATTATTAAAGGGGCACTAGCTACGAGGTATATAAAAAATCTAAAATATGATTTTTTTTGTTCAATCATTAATGAAAGTGAAATAGTGAAATAATTATTCGCTTTTAGCAGCCAGTATAGTTCAATTTTGTCGAAATAAGCTAAGAAACATTGATGATGAATAATTCACTTGCAAGTGAATAATTCGACCTCATTGAATCCGTATTCATGTGAACTTCAATTTAACCCCTTAGCTAGAGATGGATAACGCATGCATTGTGCGTGTAAAGTTATTTAAAGGAAAAGAAAGTCAACATTGAAAGTGAAACAAAGGTACATCATTTGATTGACTGATTCGATCCACAAAAAATCATTCTTATACAGGTAAAAACGATGATAAACATATATTTTTAATCTATAATATGAAATTAAACAGACCTAGAAAAATCCAAAATCACGAGTTCACTTAATCTATTTATATCACATCGCTTATATGGTTGATTAAGGATTGAGGATGGTCATCGGAGGACTTTGGAGGTCAACTCGATAGTTAATTAGATGGCGTCTAGACTAAAATACACACGAAACAATCAACAATCTACATATTATCGAGGCCATGCCTTGTAAATTGTTTATTTTAGACTTTTAATAGTTTGGATAAATGTTTTACATGGTTATAAATCTAATATGAGAATTTGAGTCAAATCGGTGAACTTGAATTTGACAGCTAGTGCCCCTTTTATATCTCCATTCTATTGTTACTGGGACAAGTCACATAATTTCTATTTGTCCCAGATTGAAAATTCTAGCTACTCTAGCTGTCGACCAATATTTATTTGATTTTGTTTTCTCAAAGGTAACCTGTACCATTGTTTTCATTATACCTTTTCCATAGTTCAACTACCATTATACACCAAACTAATTTTTAAATATATGTCAGTATCAGTTACTTTTGACCCAGGATTTTGTGACTACAATCTACTTTCACTTTCACTTTCACTTTCAATTTCCCGCCAAAAAATCACGTGGTAAAGTAATATCGCCAGCATCCGAAAAAATATATTTTTCAAGAAAACTATTTTAAACCAAAAAAGTTTCACCAGCTCCTGTAGAAATCATAATGATGTGCTATGTTTTGATGTTTGCTCGATCTTTTTTTCTTTTCTTTTATTTTGTGAACATTGAAGTTTTTTTTTTTAATGTTGGGTTTACTATACATCTATGATTATACTATAGTCCCAGTTTTAAGCCCCCTTTTAATATTGCAGATTTTCTTTAACATTTAAACTTATTTTTAGTTCAATATATCAAAGCATTAAATTGGGGAGATTAATTGATCAAAAAATCTTGTCCACCAAAAGAAAGAGGATCATGTCCCAGTGGCGGATCCAGAGGGGGGCGTAGAGGGCGTACGCCCCCCCTTTGCTTGCCATTTTTTTTTTTTTTTTTTTGTAAAATGATTAATCAGACTAGACTTCGTGAACTTTGCCATTGTCCGCGTATTTAATTTTTATGCGGCAATTCTTTACCTATAAAGATATGTTTCGCTCGTATTTACTGTAATATATTATTGACTATGTCAAAATCATGTGATTCGCTACGGTGGAGTTGACCAGTGCGTCGAAAAAACGTCACTCAGTCATTTTGAAATTCAAATTAAGTAACACATTGCTTAGGCTGAGGATGACAAGAATGCTCCGTGTTGAAGGTCGTACCTTGGCATATAATGGTTTACCTTTATGAATTGTTACTTGGATGGAGAGTTGTCTCATTGGCACTCATACCACATCTTCCTATATCTATGACACCTTCAAAGCGACAAAGGATTGAGCAAGAACGTATTTATTGACTTCTATTTCACAATTCCACCGAACAGAAAGTAATACTCTATTACACTTTCATGAAAAAAAGTTCCACAGCAATATTATTTACCTACGAAAACATGTTTAACCCAACACGCCCCAGCCTATTAATAACATATCTGAACAATGATCCCCAGTCAATAAGCTCTAGATAGATTTAAAATCTAAGGTACGGACCATTTGATTTGAGGGGGCAGTCTGAGATGTTTGAGAGAAAAATTCTGACCCTCATTTTTGCCTTAAACAAATATTCTGGCCGTATCTGGATTGTAAACAATAATCTTGTCCACTTTTTTTTGCTATTAGAAACAAAAATTTCCAACAGAATTATTTAGCATTAAATGAACATGATGAATAAAAAAACGGGCGTAATTTTTTTGGGGCCAGGGGTTTGCATGTAAATCCCATATTTGACCGGAATGTCTGTTTCGTCGAAACTTTTTCAAGGCCCGACTGCAACCTGCCTGCTGGGTATGGCCTCTATGTCTCCATTTGTCGACCGTCATTCATATATTCGTTGTCATCTCAGACTCATTCGTAGCCTTTGGTTGATTTGAAACCCCTCACTTCCCTTGTTGGGTGAAAAATTTCAACCAAACATTTGGATAAAAATTGCTTGTTTGTCTTTCTTAACTCGTGTCGGTCGTATTGCAAATTTCATTGAATAGCCCGGCGTATATCTTGTTTACAACAAGAAATTCGTGACGTTATGCTAACTAAACATATAACAAACGAGAATTTTCCATGTCAATTTTTTACTGACAAGTCCCACATCAAATATATTAGTACATAGCTTTGGATCCATCCAATCATTTTATAATAGACAATTAATGGGGAGAATACGGCATCAAAAATGTCCAACCCTTACACTTAACTATAAAATATACATGCGTTACGTCAGGAACCGTTAAAAAAGTGCATTTTACACTTATTTTATGTTTTTTAGCCAAAAAAAGGTCCAAAAATTTTTTTCGCCATACTTCGCCCCCCCTTTCCAAATTCCTGGATCCGCCCCTGTGTCCTAATTAAGTGCATGTGTTCTGTAAAGCATTTGTTGACAGTTAAATGTTTTGTCTGTTGTCTTTTTCTTTGCCGGAATTGGCATAGGGTGTCGTCTGGTTCTTCGTCGCCCGTAAAGTTTTTAAATGCTACTCCTTCCCCTTTGTTTGGTATCACGGGGGCTTCTTTGTTTTCTTTTTTAATAAAAAAAAATCTATAGTTATTCAATGTCAATGCCGCCGGGATACTATTTAATCTTTTTGCAGTTTCTGCATAGTTGTGACCATAACGTAGTGAATTACATGTCTAAGCACAGCAAGACCTAGGAAGCCGATTACAGCAAGAAAAGTTTCGTCGGTGTTCCATATAGTTTTACACTCTTAATTATCATTAGTCCAATTCAAGTCAAATCATAATCTTTGATAAATGGATAAAAAAGAGAAGAAATCTTAACAAGGTAACTGATCCAGGTAATCATCTCACCTGGGGTGTGCTACAGACATATTTTTCTTCAGACGTGGTTGATATGGACGATATTTTATCAGTAATAACTTCATTTTAACAACTAAGCAAATATAGACACATTCATTCTAGATTTGTTACACTAGTGGGTCGAGAGACAGTTAAATTATATATTTTGACAAACCAAATTTTATACATATTTGTTAACCACAAGGTGATATGCTTGTATTTAATTTATGACCCTACGATTAAATCAATATAACATTTGTTCGTCGTTGTTTGTCTTTGTTTGTATATCTGGTTTTTAATTGTTGAGGTCACTGAGTTGCACTGTCCACTCATATATTTGATGATTTCTGATATTCTTTTTATGCATTATTAAGTCAGGGAGCAGAGTGAGATTTTTACTTTATAATGTCACAGAAATCATAATGAAATAACAATAGTTAATTCATTAATTGATAAGTTTGATAATTTTCTAATCCTATAAACTGGTTATAGCTAGCCGTTTGGGCAAAATTCGAAAAACAAAATTTTGATAGAAGATGCGGAATATGTTGATAGGACAGCAACCCAGCAACAACTTTTTCTTATTCTTCTTGTTATGTCGGTTGCTGTACTGCCGAGTAGATGTTATACTGCAAGATCACGAAAATTAAACAATCTCGTTAGATGCCGAAAGCAAGTTTACGTGTAGAATTTAAATGCAGAAAAGGAAATAAGCATAGTTATGTTTAAACATTTAAGTAAAAGTCTTAATAGTATCACGAATCACACTAAACCGGGATAAATTATGGTGTTCTGAAAGATGTGGCATAAACACCAGATGCAGATGGTCGGTGCCCAATGCACAACACCTAATTACACTTCACAGTCTTATTTACTATATGTTACTCGAGATACTTAATGAAAGAATATTTTTTTACCCTCGATTATTTCATTTTCTGTTACCCTGAAAAGTTTTCTTTGGACTTTTGCTGAAACCGTTCATCATGAACGCTGTCCGATTTTATCAACAACCCGACCAGACCCCTATTAAAACTTGGCCGAGGTGGTGGTAGGAGAAATGATACGAGCGGGATTAACAAAATACTCTGAATGTAAAAGAATAATTTGCCTTTTGAAAATTTATGGTGCAGTGTGACGTTTATATTCTTAAATAAAAATTTATGACGCAAACTTTATCCCCAAACAGCTGTATTCCTTGTATTACACATAACCCAAAATATGATCTATAGCTTATCATGAATTAATGTATTTAGTCATGTAGGTAGCGTGTAGTCTTCAAATCAACATGACAATACACCTTATAAAAACGTGCCAAAAAATATTTTTAAGACGGAATTGTTAAAAGAAGGTGTAAATGTAATGTCAAATATCAAAAGTAGCTGGTCCACCCTGACTGATTTGATGTTTAGTCTTTTGCTAAACCTGAAAAGGGAGAATGGTCACCAGGTCCTACTGTTTCATAGGAATTATCTCTATTCTTTTTATTTCTCTGCCTATTTATTTATTCTCAAGTTTCATTCGTTTTACTACTTCAAGAGAATCTTATCCTCGTCCTAGATAGGCATGAAATATTTCCCACTGGACGTTAAGCATACACAACTAATAAATATATGCGCACCCTAGTTCATTAGCACTCACCTTTAACAACTGCCGAAGTATAATCCAGATTTATCATATTAATTCTTAAAACGCTTGAATTTAATTTCAGATGTCCATCTCCATTTTCATTTAGCAATAAGATTCGTGTATCAGACCTTCTAATATCACTATTACATATTTTAGGGTCACGAAAACCCTCCACTTGTATCCTTTGATGTAATCGCCTATGCCGAATTCTATTTCTTGTTGGTTTTATAAAATTATTGAGTAAAGCACCTCCTTTGAACACCCTTTTTATCTCTACCTCACCCATAACCATCCCTGGGTGGTTCATATCCAGCATGAGGTTCTTAACTGTAGCGGTAACTACAATGTGCGCCTCCTCCTCTCGATCCTCTAAACTTTTCTCTTTACAGCCGTTTTTTATATTCCCAATAACAAAACAAAATGATAGAATCAAGAAAAATGTTTGTAGCACAGAAAAGTGAATGATTTCCATTTTAATCCCACCTGTAGCGAAGTTTTCCTTTAAGTCTATTATATCTACATAGTAAGTACAATAGTGCACATTGAACGAGACATGCTTTTCAAGTGTTTCTGTTTAAATTTACTACCCGGTTTAAATTCCCATTGAAATTTAATGATAGATTTAAACAAGGTAAATAAACATAAGACAACTGATATGGAGAAAGATCAATTGCGAAGGGTGTCCTAAAACTACCAAGTTTTCTGGGTCACAAAATACAAAAGAAGATTGTGTTCACATCAATGAGGACTGATGCGGTTATTTATTGAAGTTTGGTGAACAGAGCGAGAAAATAGTTACTAGTATTTCATTGTACTTGGTCGAACTATGTGCGTTTTATGGGACATTTGCTCCCCTCGCAGGTGTTTAACGATGGTTTATGACTCTGCATATCTACCCTTGCATATTTTTGGGCATAATTATAAATGATATATCTCATAAAAAAAATCGAATTGAAAAACTATAGTTTCATCATATAGATCAATTCGTGTCCAGAGGATTTAGGAGAGAATTTTCTGATGAAAATGAAAAATCATAAGTTTACCCCCTGCTAAAGGAGGCGAAAGAGAGAGAGAGAGAGAGAGAGAGAGAGAGAGAGAGAGAGAGAGAGAGAGAGAGAGAGAGAGAGAGAGAGAGAGGAAATGGTGGATTTTGCTAATTTTTAAAAGACCTTCTACGAATGTGTTAGTTCTTGTGGTAGTCTTGGGTTATTATCATATATAAATGACAGAATAGGATATATCACAAATTTTAAAAATTTATCTATCAATCCTTTTTTTTCTACACTCGGATCAGACAGTTACTTAATATATTATATCTTTTATAAAACGGAATTGGGACCGGGTAGAATTCAGAATTATTGATAGATATTCAACATTTGGTGGAATGACTCAGTAACGTTTACATCACGCTAAAGATTCGGTTGAATTAGCTATATTCTTTGCTTGATTAAACACCCTTTGTAACTTAACAGTTTACTCCGATTTTAGAACCATTTCATCTGACTTAAACATAACTTTGACCCCAAAGACGGGTGGTGTGGTGCACAACAAGAGATGTTAACCCTGGCGACATATCTGATCCTTTTGGAACCTCAAGCTTAGACGGGTGATGTGGTGCACAAGAAGAGATGTTAACCCTGGCGACATATCTAATCCGTTTGGAACCTCAGGACGGGTGGTATCGTGCACAACAAGAGATGTTAACCCTGGCGACATATCTAATCCGTTTGGAACCTCAGGACGGGTGGTATCGTGCACAACAAGAGATGTTAACCCTGGCGACATATCTAATCCGTTTGGAACCTCAGGACGGGCGGTATCGTGCACAACAAGAGATGTTAACCCCGGCGACATATCTAATCCGTTTGGAACCTCAAGCTTAGACGGATGATGTGGTGCACAACAAGAGATGTTAACCCCGGCGACATATCTAATCCGTTTGGAACCTCAAGACGGGTGGTATCGTGCACAGCAAGAGATGTTAACCCCGGCGACATATCTAATCCGCTTGGAACCTCAGGACGGGTGGTATCGTGCACAACAAGAGATGTTAACCCCGGCGACATATCTTATCCGTTTGGAACCTCGAGGCGGGTGGTATCGTGAACAGCAAGAGATGTTAACCCCGGCGACATATCTAATCCGTTCGGAACCTCAAGACGGGTGGTATCGTGCATGCACATCAAGAGATGTTAATCCTGGTGACACGTCTAATCCGTTTGGAACTTCAAGACGGATGGTGTCATGCACAGCCATAATTTTTACCCTGGCGCAGATCTGCTCAATTTCGAACCTCAATTCGGATGATTTCATGCGCAGCAGAAGTATTAAAGCTGGCGCAAATATTCTCCGTTTGGAACTTCAAGATGAGTGATGTCATCCATACAAGAAATGTTAACCCTACATCGACGCATCTATTCCGTTCACACTGTTTTATTTGGTGTTTTTTCATTACCAATGAGTATAAACTGGCGTAGATATACTGCAATAATACTTAAGACATTGAACAATCGTACATCTCCTTATTTCTATATTGATCACAGGGTTTATTGCTCGTGCTGTGTGGCTGCTGTATAATGTGTCCCCGTGCTTGTGGTGTATGCCCTTATATTTTACAGTTATGGGTGTTTTGCTTGTGAGAGAGCTGTCTACTGTAAGTTTTTATCATTACATTTCATTTGAACTATGGTGGACAGTTGTCTCATTGGCAATCATTCCACATCTCCTTATTTTTTATATAAAATAGCACAAAAATAATTTCTGGCTTTCTCCAGTTTTTAAGGTGTATATGTTTTTTATGAGCATGTAATATATTGGTGACCTATATATAGTTGTTTACATCCTCCTAGTTGTCTTGTTGGCAATAACACCACATCTCCTTGGAAGCTGTTATATCAACATATTAATAGGAATAAACTTAAGCAAAACCAACACTTGTTTTAACAATATGAAAAAGAGAGCGATTTTGAAATTGATGGTCAAAGCATTAAGAATAACCTAACTATTGTTTATGCCATGCATTTTATTATATACTTTAAATATTGTACTTTTACGTTGTATCATTTGTTATTTCACTGAGAGATAAGAAGAAGGGAGTTGAGGTACAATTAACACTATATTGTAATGAAGAATGCTGAAAGCAGACTAAAAAAGGAGAAGAAAACAATGTGTGATACAGATGTTCATACCAACAGCACAAAATAAATGTTACCAAGTACGCCTTGAAGGGTCAGCAACAAACAAAAAAACAAATATGACAGACAGTAAACAAAATCAGCCGCTGAAGTATAGGCTCCTATAACTTAGGACGGGCACAAAAACGAATGCAAAGGGGTTAAACATGTGTGTGAAGCCTAGCCCTGCCTTTACCTGGACAGTGGCGTAACAGCACATCATAAGAACAAACTGTAAAAATCAGTTAATTGGAAAAGGCTTTGACTAAAGGTCAGTTTAGCCTTAAGGCTTCAAACCTTTATTTTTAGTACAATTACATAAATGCCTAAAATGGAAAGAGGTGGGGCGAATTTCCCCCTGAATGTATTTCACAGCAGGACCATTTTCTAAAAGGGGGGGGGGGGGGGGGGGGGGTTGGCCTATACCTCTTTTCAAACAAAATTTATCATTTATGTCATCCCTGGTCCACTGTATCAGCGGTATCGATCCCATGAGATCTAGTATAAACGTATGGTACCGCTTTCTGTGCGAACGACGAATATTTCTGGAATAAACTACACCAGGTACACTCGATTCCAAAGGTTTGGAAAGAAAAGAATATAAAACCCAACAGTACTGTAAGTACTTATTTGCATGCTGATATAAAAATCAATACACTCTTATACTCTAATATTGGTCGCAGTACTTCCCAATATATATGACTGTCAGAGAGAAGCGAAGTAAAAAAAACGTAAAAAATTAGGTCTAATGCAATGCCCAATGTATTTACGTACAGAATTTCAAAAGATAAATGTAGACACAAGCTGTAAAAAAGCGAATGCATACGCACTGGTCCAACAAAAATACTATAGACTCAATAATTTCACAACAACAACATAATTGTAACCTTTAGCATTAAGTCTATTAGACAAAAAGACTATTTGAGAGATAATTTTGGTATGGATACCGGGAACAATTGATAAATGCATCTTCTTGCATTAAATGATTACAATTTGTATACCTAAAATGGGAAATCATATGGAAGTGTCTGGAAAACTTGGTCAACTACATATAAAAACGTGATCCCCGGTTATTATAAAAATAAGAAGATGTGGTATGACTGCCAATGAGACAACTCTCCACAAGAGACCAAATGACACAGAAATTAACAACAATAGGTCACCGTACGGCCTTCAACAATGAGCAAAGCCCATACCGCATAGTCGGCTATAAAAGGCCCCGAAATGACAAATGTAAAACAATTCAAACGAGAAAACTAACGGCTTAATTTATGTAAAAAATGATGAACGAATAACAAATATGTTACACAGCAACAAACGACAACCACTGAATTACAGGCTCCTGACTTGGGACAGGCACATACAGAATGTGGCTGGGTTGAACTAGTTTGAAGGCGCCAACCCTCCCCCTAACCTGGGACAGTAGTGTATCAGTACAACATAAGAAAAAACTATAAAAATCAGTTGAAAAGGCTTAACTCATCAGATGGATACAAATAGAAATACATCTAACAAAAATACAGAGTGGACGTGGCAGGGTACTTATACATCCCCACAACAAAAAGACACTAAGAACAGTTCTGAAGTTACTGAAAGCTAGTTCAAAGCCAATAACAAGTAATTAAAAAAATCATGTATCTAAGACTAAAATATCAATCAGTACACATCCAACATCCAATGGATTTAGTAATAAGACGTCATTAACAGTCATAGAAAAACATGACCTTGTGCAATGCCAAGATACATGCAGGTATCAACAGATTGTAGAGCCATGAATGTGCATATATGTATACAAAAATAATATTTAGTTTGATTTTAATTTACTGATAACAAAATCAATATTAATACCAATAAAAACAATATTCAAAGATCTAATTACAGTGTTGAATTGGTAACCTTTTATAATAAGTTTATTTAAAGGATCGATAAGTTTACCCGAATCGTTTCTAAATTTCCAGGCTCGGTAAACAACATCTCCATAAAAATCACAACAGACACGGACATAGCGAACGAGTTGTGATATATAAACACCGTAAGATGGTGCCAAAGGAACATCACCGTCCAAAAAAGGAAAATTAACAATAGGGAACGAAAAATCGTCCCTTTTGTCGTAACTTTCAGTGTAGAGTTTCCCGTGTAAAACTGAAATATCTAAATCTAAATCTAAGAAAGGACAGTTATTACCGTTTATATTTGATTTATTTAAAGTAAGTTCCTTTAAGTTATAATTTCGGCAGTATATTTAGAAAATTCTTGATTATTTAACGAAAAAAATATCATCAAGATAACGGTAAGTGATGTTGAATTTATAAATTAAATGCAATTCAGACGGGTCTTTACTGAGTTTGGTCATAAACTGTGATTCATAACAGTACAAAAACAAGTCTGATATTAAAGGGGCGCACCTGGTGCCAATAGGAATTCCTACAACCTGTCGATAAACTGTATTGTCAAAACGTACATAAATATTATCAAGGAGAAAATTAACATCTTCAATCATCTCATCACACCTCCAGTAAGTATATCTAGCAAATTTACCTTTCTCATCAGAGAAGAAGGCTTTAAATGAGTTGCAGCAAATATATTTGCACTGATTCCCAAACGACCATTTAATCAAATAGAAAAACTTTCGTTTGATAAGATTGTGTGGAAGTGTACTGCAAAAGAGTTAAAAAGTCAAAACTGTCTGTGTTACTCAGCGTAACATTGACGAATACGTACCATATCCTTTCATTCACATCGACCATGTGACTCCTGGCTAAAAAAATCTACAACTCTCGTCTTTTTTATAAAAGACTTACAAATGGTTTGCAATAGATTTTAAAAAAAGTAGGCATATTGAAAAAAAAACAGTTGCGGCTGGGACCAATTGATAATGCATGTATTAGTCCCTGGTTTCGGAGAAACAAAATATTAAAATGAGCATTTGAACCATAATTCAAAATTATTTCAAAACTTCAGGCACTACCAAACATGGTGTAAATATAGAATTAATGTTCACAGTCGATCTCTGCATAGATCCAGGTAGATGTGAAAGAATAATCGGAGGCTAACTTTGTTAGATTAGATATGAATATCAGGGTTTGTCAGTGACTCAGAACAAATCGAAGATAAAATACACTTGATATCCTCGATCTTGATATCTATATCATTAACGGGAAGCTTAATACAAAAATTTATGATAAAAGAGATGCTTTTTCATTTCCTATCGTTAATCATCCATTTTTAGATGGTGACGTTCCCTTGTCACCATCTTATGGCGTTTATATATCTCAACTTGTACGATTCGCTCGTGTATGTAACAACGTATTAGATTTTAGCGAGAGAAATTTATGTATTACTGAAAAATTATTACACCAGGGTTTTCGATATCATAAACTAGTCAAAACATTTACTAAATTTGATCATCGGTATAAGGACATCATTCGTAAATATAAATCAACATGCAGACATCTTATACGTTCGGGTATTTCACATCCAATCTTTTATGGTAATATTCTTTACAAAGCACAAAAATGTCAGTATTCACCTCAAAAGCTAACAAAACCGTTAAACAGACTTATTAAGAAGGGATATAGTTACGATACTGTTGTCAGGTCATTAAAGATTGCATATTTTGGCTTTAATATTGATTCACTTATAGGGTCTTTGCATCTGAATTAACACATTTATTCTAAAACCAGTTGTTGGCATGACACGGGTTATGTTCTTCTCATATATTTTATGACGGTATAATACTAAACCCCTAACAGGAGGGATTGTGCCTGATATTCATATGATGAAGACATAATCTTTCAATCAGTTTAATTGAGGTCTGGAGCTGGCATGTCAGTAACTGCTAGTAGTCTGTTGTTATTTATGTATTATTGTCATTTTGTTTATTTTCTTTTGTTTCCTATTCTGACATCGGACTCGGACTTCTCTTATACTGAATTTTACTGTGCGTACTGTTGTGCGTTTGTTTTTCTACATTGGCTAGAGGTATTAGGGGGGGGGGGTTTGAGATCTCAAAAAACATGTTTAACCCCGCCGCATTTTTGCGCCTGTCCCAAGTCAGGAGCCTCTAGCCTTTGTTAGTCTTGTATCATTTTTAATTTTAGTTTCCTGTGTATAATTTGGAGTTTAGTATGACGTCCATTATCACTGAACTAGTATACATATTTGTTTAGGGGCCAGCTGAAGGACGCCTCCGGGTGCGGGAGTTTCTCGCTGCATTGAGGACCCATTTGTGGCCTTCAGTTGTTGTCTGCTCTATCGTCGGGTTGTTGTCTCTTTGACACATTCCCCATTTCCATTCTCAATTTTACTTACTTTGCAATAGTCCAAATTATATCAAACTTAGACATGTTAGAAAGTTACTATTTAAAGAAATGATAAAACCTAGAACATAATATTATATATATAATCAGAAGTCCATTACTAGACTAAGTAAAAAAACAAGAGACTTTTGAAATTCGAAATTGTTTCGAAGTCATCTGAAGCACCAAAGGTCGGATATTATTGTTTTTCTGTAGAAGCGAAGAAAAAACCCTGTCTTTTGCTTATTCATCACCGTATATATATAAATGTAGCTTTCTTGGTGCCGTAAATGACGAGACATAATTCGTCAACACAACGCGGTTCTATTTAGAAAAGGAGACATCTATGACTTTATTTTGACAAAAACGACTACATCTTTTAGATAGACGATACATTTTAAGTCCGACACGGCAAATTTTATAGTTCTCATTTGCCTTTGCGCGATGAAAATGGTAGCAATGAATTCGTTTATAAAATTATTTTATTTCATTTTCTAAATGTTGAATTAAAATGAAGAAGTTAACTAACTGGCAATAAGAAACCACCGCACTGAGTCGGCTGACTTCATTTACACCAAACTGATAATTAATCAAACCGTCTCAAGGAGACAAATTTTAAACAGCAGTTCAGTTCAGTTTCTTGTATATTCCTCCATTAATTGTGGAGCACTACCCATAGGGTATAATTGTAGCAACTATATACACCTTAGAACATAAGGAAGCATTTAATTATGTACAGATGACTGAATTTAGGCAATAATAATTACTAAAAATTAATATTATAACTAATTCATAGCATTGTCATCATGAAATTTTAAAAATAATATTCATAATGTGCTGAAGTGTAAGAATAAGTTAAGTAAGAACTGGATATATTTACAAATAAAAATTTAGAATTTAAGTGGTCTTAAATTAAATTTTCTTATAATTGTTAGTTAAAGGTGCTATACGTACATCAGAATTTATAATGAGAAGCTATCTGTTCGATGATAATATTTTTACCCATGATTCCATAGTTATAAAACGAGATTTGGGGGGACCACCAATGGCGCTTTCCACTGATAAAGGGGACATCGTGGTCGCCTTACTATATAGCACAGGTTGCACACTACGTCTAGTAATGGACTTCTGATATAATGTATCATATGACATATTATATGTTATATTATATACTATTCCCAGATAAAACTTAGTAAACATTTTGAAAACTTAACTGAGATAAAAAATAAAAATAGAGCAATATGATTTGATTTATCCATTACTATAACAAAATCTTGTCTTATTGTGCACATTTTCTTAACCAGGTATTTATAAATGAATAAATCTAGTGTCGATTTTTTTCCGGAATATGACGTAAAATTTGGGTTTGAGTATTATAAACATTGAAACAAGAACTTCCGGTTCCGGCATTTTGTCAGTTGAAAGTTGAACTGTTGAGAAGACTTTTACATTGATAGCTCCAATATAACCGTCCAAAATGGGCGTCCCTAAATTTTATCGGTGGATAAGTGAACGCTTTCCATGTTTAAGTGAAACTGTGAAAGAACTACAGGTAATACCACTAAGTATGCAGTCTGATTGCATCACAGTATGTTGTACATATAGGCCTGTTACAGAACATTTCACAACTGTTGCATAATTTATCAGAACCTGATTAATTTGTCAATCTTTGAGATAAAAGCAAAAAGAAATTATGAATAGATTTGTCATTTCCATACTAAAAATTTTGACAACTAACATTACTAATCATTTGAAAAGGTATTTCATAGATAAGATATGTTACAGACATTTGTAATTTTACTTTCAGTTTCAGTTTATTCAGTATGAGCTCGAGGCAGATGCCACTTGAAAGAGCTCACCAAGCTTATAAAAGTATGGCAAACAAGTTACCAAAACAAATAGAAGAATAATTACAAACTTCTACTGCTTAAAAACTTACACAAGAGAGGGGAAAGATACAAAAGGGACATTCAAACTCATAAATCGTAAACAAACTGACAACGCCATGGCAAAAAAACAACCAAAAGACAAACAACTGTCTACAAAATACAACTAAGAAAACTTGAAGACTGGGCAACACAAACTCTACCAAAAACCGGGGGTGCTCCAGGAGGGTAAGCAGTTCCTGCTCCACATGTGGCACCCATCCTGTTGTACAAACCAGGTAAAAAACAGATATTCCATAACAGATGACCATCTTGTTATGGGGTTCATAACATTTTTGAAGGGATGATTTCAGCTTCACTACTTGGAACTCTTGTTATGATAGCTTCATTGTGAGCTCAGCATCAACCCTCTATCAAAGGAATATTGATTCATCAAAATGGAAAATTAACAATTGGGAAGCTGAAATCAACTCTTTAGCCATAAAAGTTTGTTTTCAACTGACCCTCATTGTCAATTCTAGATGTAACTTAAGTCAAGATAAGTCACAACTGTATCTGTCGTATTCTTTATTTGATAACATTTGTTCTAGGTATAAGGGAGACAAGTTGTGATTTACAAGCCGCACTGTAGGTAAACAAATTGGCATCTGACAGAGAAAATCAAGATTTTTTAAGTGGCCTAGGCATAGTATTACCGAGGATTGAATGAAATAAATACAACGTCAACTAATATTAAACGTCTGTTTAGTCTCACCACTTCTGCATATCAGTTTCAATAACGTCTCCTGTCCGCTATCAGAACATGATGTAATTCATTTTTCTAAGGATGAAAACAATACAAATCACATAAACATTGACTTGTTGCTTTGATTCATTGTATGGACTATTCTGTTATATAGACCTGGCACTGAAGTGTAGGTAAAAAAAAAATGTGTTACCTGTCCTAAGTCAGGAACCTGATGTTTAGTGGTTGTCGTTTGTTGATGTGGTTCATAAGTGTTTCTCGTTTTTTATATAAATTAGACCGTTGGTTTTCCTGTTTGAATGGTTTTACACAGTCATCTTTGGGGCCCGTTATAGCTTGCTGTTCGGTGTGAGCTAAGGCTCTGTGTTGAAGGCCGTACTTTGACCTTTAATGGTTTACTTTTACAAATTGTGACTTGGATGGAGAGTTGTCTCATTGGCACTCATACCACATCTTATATCTATTGACAGAGAAAATCGAGATTTTTTTAAGTGGCATTGGCATAATATTATCGAAGATTGAATGAAATAAATACAATGGCAACTATGTACCTCCTCAGCTTTAAAATTCAAAACTGTTTAATTATACATGTACCAGAGTTTGACAATTTGTATTTAATATGAATGGAATCATACACACATGTAACATTTTCTGTTTACAGATACCAGACAGGCAGAGTTTGACAATTTGTATTTTGATATGAATGGAATCACACACACACTTTATATTTTCTGTTAACAGATACCAGAGTTTCAGGGTTCTCGTTAAGACGTGTATACGCGTCCTGGACGCATGAAAATTGAGCTGTTGATCGTTGCGTTGTTTTGACTGGAAACTAAACCAGAAGTCAATATTGAAAAATTTATGTAATGCGTAGATGAATATTTTTGTTGACTGATAATTATTTTTTAAAATTAAACCTCTTTCATCCTAAAATAAATAATTCTGTTCAAACTGATTTATAAATATGTAATAGTTACCGATTTTTACGAATAAGAATAATTCTACTGGTCTTCGAATGATTTAACATTTTTCTCATATTGTGCATGTTGAACATCGCGATCGTAAACAAGGTGAAAAATGTTTTGAATGATTGAAACAAATCTGATTAAAAAATGATTAAAGAATAATCACTATTTATCCAAGCTCAATATTTTGAACAGTGTTCACTTTAGATTTGCTTGTTTTACATGAAATGTATGTATCTCTTTTTATTGTGTAAAAAAAATATACCAATGTATCAAGGGATTTGTAATAAGAATATTTTTTAATTTATTGCCCTGTATTATATATTTAACCTGTAAATGGCTGGTTTTTGGGGCTATGTTCAAACATTGGTCTACTATCTTTCTACCTCCTTTTAGGTTTGCCTTTTGATATTGATAAAAATTATGACTTGAAGAGGAATATAATTTTTCAGTTGTTATTCTGGTGTCCAAAGTTGGATTGATTGATTGATTGACTGGTGTTTAACACCACTTTCAGTACTGTTGTGCTATTTCGTGATCACATGTTGGTGATATAATAAAATCTACCAATCAAACATGCATTGTTTTAGTTTTATTTCATCATATTCCATCATATTATAAGACACAAAAAATTACACTCATCCTGGACTCATCAAAATCTGTTGGCACTGACCATTTCTAAAAGTGATGAGTCCCAGGACTCACCATGAAAAATTCCTAGTGAGAACCCTGAGAGTTTGTTGTTTTTGATTTTTCTCTACTTATAAACTTTTATTACATTTTCTGTTTTCAGATACCAGAATTTTACAATTTATATCTGGATATGAATGGAATCATACACACATGTTACATTTTCTGTTTTCAGATACCAGAATTTTTCAATTTATATCTGGATATGAATGGAATCATCCACACATGTTACATTTTCTGTTTTCAGATACCAGAATTTGACAATTTATATCTGGATATGAATGGAATCATACACACATGTTCTCATCCTGATGATAATAATCCACATTTCCGTATCACACTAGAGAAGATATTGTCAGACATCTGCCATTATATTGAGGTAATTTACTTTCTTAATAATTATAGTATCAATAAAAGGAGTTGTTGGGTCAATGAGACAGCAATCCCTGGACAACAACAAAATATCAAAAACAACAATAGAGACCAACAACCAACATTCAACAATAGACAGATGTCCATACAATAAGTCAAGCTCAAATTGCTCTGTAAAAGTTGTAAATGAATTAAATAGAAACAAGAACATTGTGACCAAATTCTTCAAAAACAGATTTAACATTAAGATATTCTGTAAGACAACTTATTTGTTTTTAAAGCAATTGCTTTTATGCCATCGCGTATGGCCATCTTTGTGACACAAATCAGAGACTCTGCCCAGATCAAGCCATAGTATTTTGTTAAACAGGCTCCTGGTCTCTCATTCTTAAACACCTATGTATGTTTTCTAATGCAACATAGCTTGAAACTTTTGAAAAACGTTAGTGGATTTAAGAGGTTTCAGCATATGTTCTTGTAGATGGATTTTTGTATTTAGGGGGACAACCGTTTGACTTTCAAAAACATAGAAGTCCGAGTGAAAAAAAGTGCATTTTTATACTTGCAATTCCGTTCTCCTTTCGTACGATGTTCCAACAAAATATCGAATCATTTCAGTTGTTGATTTAGTATTGAAAATTTTACTGAATTATCTCTTATTAAATACGGTTTTATATGTTTAATTGGTGTTTCTCTAAGAAAGAGGCCAGGTGCTCTTGTTCATTCATAAAATTATCGTTCATTCATAAATTTATCGTAAAATCAAAATCACTACACAGGTTATACGTAGTGTCAAATGTTTACCTGTAATCTAAAAATAGACAAACTTAACTGACCTATTTTGTTGATTTGTTTGCGCAAATAATTTAGCGGAACGAAACCCTTGTTAAAAACACATAACAATAAGAATGTTTTCCTTTTTTGTCATAACTCCGTAAGATTTATCGATCACCTTACTAATGAAATGGACCCGTCAAAACGTGATAGATGCCAAGTCCAGATCAAGAGATATTTACAATTTGGAATTTTCTAGTTTCATAGATTGAAAAAAGTACATCCTTTTGGATATCATAATCAAAACTGGGTATGCATGACAAATGATGAAACTATTATCCTCGTCTTTCCAATGGACGAGTCTACTACGTGTGTTGACACTCGACGGTCCACCGTGTTTGCAATTTTATTTCACATGTTTTCTAAATATTGAAGATCATTTTTCGCAATGTTCCTGAAAATTGATAAACGAAGCAACGAAGAGCTGTTTGTTCTTGTTCGTATAATGATGATTTAATGTCATGTTTGTCTATGATGACCTTCCTTTACACATATCAACTGAGCAATAATGTTTGGGACTTAGTTTTAAGAAATGAAGACAAAGTAACATTATGAAAATATTTTTAGTAAGCTGAAATATTATATTTATTTTTTACATGTTTATGTCTTGTAAGATATTTTATTTCTTTCCCGTTTTTATACGACCGCAAAAAATTTTTTGTGGTCGTATATTGGTATGACATTGGCGGCGTCGTTGTCGTCGTCTGCGTTGTCCAAAAACAAATTGGTTTTCGCACTCTAACTTTAGTTTAAGTGAATGGATCTCTATGAAATTTTACCACAAGGTTCAATACCACAAAAGGAAGGTTGGGATTGATTTTGGGGGTTATGGTACCAACAGTAAAGGAATTAGGGGCCAAAAATAAGCATTTTTTTAACTTCCAGACATAACTTGTGTGTTAGTGTATGGATCTCTCCGACATTGTACCACAAGGTTCCATATCACAAAAGGAAGGCTGGGATTGATTTAGGGGGTAATTGCCTCAAAATTTTAGGAAATAGGGGCCAAAAAAGGGGCAAAAAACAAGCATTTTTCTAGTTTCATGACAATAACTTGTGTGTAAGTGTATGGATCTTTTTGAAATTGTACTACAAGGTTCCATATCACAAAGGGAAAGCTGGCATTGAGTTTGGGGGTAATTGAGGAAACGTTAAGGAATTGGGGGCCAAATAGGGGCCAAAAATAAGCATTTTTCTAGTTTCCAGACAATAACTTGTGTTCAAGTGTATGGATCTCTCTGAAATTGTACTGCAAGGTACCATACCACAAAGGGTAGGCTGGGATTGATGATGGGGCTAATTGCCTCAATATTTTAGGAATTAGGGGGCAAAAAACAAGCATTTTTCTAGTTTCAGGACAATAACTTGTGTGTAAGTGTATGGATCTTTCTGAAATTGTACTACAAGGTTCCATATCACAAAGGGAAAGCTGGGTTTGAGTTTGGGGGTAATTGCCCTAAACGTTTAGGAATTTGGGGCCAAAAAACACATTTTTCTAGTTTCCAGACAATAACTTGTGTTCAAGTGTATGGATCTCTCTGAAATTGTACTGCAAGGTACCATACCACAAAGGGAAGGCTGGGATTGAGTTTGGGGGTGATGAATCATAAGGGGGTTCAAAAAATTGGGGGGGGGGATTTTTTTTTTTTCCTTTTTTTTTTTCTTTTAAAATTTTTCATTTTAAGTTGGTTATTTCTGATTTATATTTAAAAGCAAATAATAATGATATGGTAGGAGATACACACCAAACAGGATGTGTAAATTATTATATAATAAGTATTGTGCAATAGCAAGAAATTTTCAATTGCGCAGTATTGCACAATAGCAAGAAATCTTCAATTGCACAGTATTGGGCAATAGCAAGAAATCTTCAATTGCACAGTATTGCGCAATAGCAAGAAATATCCAATAGTACAATATTGCGCAATAGCAAGAAATTGTCAATTGTACAGTATTGGGCAATAGCAAGAAATATTTGATTGCACAGTATTGTGCAAAAGAAGATACTTCGTATAAATTGCTTATTTCTTGACCAATTTCAATGGGGTTCTATTCTTGAATTCTTGGGGTTTTTTAATATGCTGAATCTAACCGTTTATTTAGTTTTTGGATTTTGGGCCCCGTTTTTAAATTGGTCCACATTGAGGTCCAAAGGGTCCAAAATTAAACTTTGTTTGATTTCATCAAAAATTGAATTATTGGGGTTCTTTGATATGCCGAATCTAACCGTGTATTTAGTTTCTTAATTTTTGGTTCCGTTTTCAGATTGGTCTACATTAAGGTCCAAAGGGTCCAAAATTAAACTTAGTTTGATTCTAACAAAAATTGAATTCTTAGGGTTCTTTGATATGCTGAATCTAAACATGTATTTAGATTTTTGATTATGGGCCCAGTTTTCAAGTTGGTCCAAATCGGGGTCCAAAATTAAACTTTGTTTGATTTCAACAAAAATTGAATATATGGGGTTCTTTGATATGCTGAATCTAACCATGTATTTAGATTTTTGATTTTTGGGCCCCGTTATCAACTTTGTCCACATTGAGGTCAAAAGGGTCCAAAATTAAACTTTGTTTGATTTCATCAAAAATTGAATTCTTGGGGTTCTTTGATATGCTGAATCTAACCATGTATTTAGATTTTGGATATTGGACCATAATAGGTGAATGTCCAATTTAAAATTTTTAAGTTCTTAGACCACATTCATTCTGTGTCAGAACAGAAACCTATGCTGTGTCAAATATTTAATCACAATCCAAATGCAAAGCTGTATCAAGCTTGAATGTTGTGTCCATACTTGCCCCAACTGTTCAGGGTTTGACCTCTGCGGTCGTATCAAGCTGCGCCCTGCGGAGCATTTTATTCAACATTTGCGTCTGGAAAGTTGAAATGTTTTAATTAAATGGTTAAATTTAAATTAATTATGATAATTGTTAAAATTAAATCAATAAAGGAAATTATTGCCCTAGCCCAGTTACAAACACTACCAGGGGATAATTTCTTTTTGAGTTATATGTTTCAGCACATGTACATTGTAAATTTGACCCTAACTTTAGCCTGGTAAACGTGTTGTCTCCTTGTGAAATATAAAACATATATAAAAAATGACTTTCTGCTAAAGTCTTTTATTGATATAAAGTTAAAACCTTCTTACTTCTCACTAGACAACACTCCTGTCAGGTTTAATTCTTATATATATGTGGATGAAAAAGTCCCCAAAACATTAACATGGCAGCAATTGCTTTTACAGCCTTTAAGGCTTTGATTTGAAGGATCTGTTTATGCCCTAAAAAGTTTGATTAGACATGATTCATGAGAGATATTAGGTAAATGTAAATAAGACAGGATCCTTATTGCAAATATTACACTAGAGACACAATTGAATTTTGTTATAATGAGCTGCATCTATTCATTCAATGTAAAATACAATGCTTCACTGAGTCATTCATGATTCATGCATAACTTAAGTAAACAAATATATTTTACACTTTGAAAGGTAAGAAATCTTGTATTTGTATATGCTTAGACCTTAAAACTATCACATTGGTACATGTAATTCGCTAGCATTACATGAAGCATACATGTACCTTCAGGTTGTTCAGAAGAATTTTTAAATAAGATAACATTTTTAACTAGACAACATATTATACAGAGGAGAATTTTTCTTCAAAATTTACAATTACAATCTAACTACTTTCTTTCACCAAATTTTAGCAGTTGAACATTAAAAGTTTTCAGTATAATTATATTGTAGTAGATAAAGACTCATACTTGCTCTTCTTCCCAGAAAATTTAGAGACCATGGAAGTTTATTAAATCTATAAAAGCAAAAGTATTTACACATTTGATAAATTCCCTTTATAACCTTATGTTTTCAGTTTTTGTTTCGTATAATAAAACCAAAGAAAGTCTTCTTTATGGCTATTGATGGAGTAGCTCCAAGGGCTAAGATGAACCAGCAAAGAGGAAGAAGATTCAGGTTAGAATAACAGAAAGATACACATTTAATGTTATGGCACTTATCTTCTTATAGTCTTGAGTGAACATTTTTATACATTAATAATTTAATTTTGGATGTAACGCGTCTTTCTATTGGCTGACGTTGTTTTGTGTATCAGCTCATAGACATAATTCTGTCATGTGACCTTGACGTCATCAACGTTTTTTCATGATTTACTCCGGTTTAAATGGAATTAAGAATTAAATTATAAGAAATGACTGAAATATTTTTTCTGTCTATTCGAAATAACATAAAAAATGTGGTGCACACTTTAAAATAACCCGCTACGCGAGTTATTCAGTGTGCACCACGTTTTTGATGTTATTTCTTCATAGACAGAAAAAATATTACAGTCATTCCTTAAATAACTTGGATAGAATGTTCGTTATGATCAAGAAATATCATCTGAAGCTATTTTTTTACTTTCCATAATTTACTGGTAAAGGTTTTTATACGACCGCAAAAAATTTTTGCGGTCGTATATTGGTATGACGTTGGCGTCGTCGTCGTCCGGCGTCGTCCGAAGACACATTGGTTTTCGCACTCTAACTTTAGTTTAAGTAAATGGATCTCTGTGAGTTTTTACCTTAAGGTTCAATACCACAAAAGGAAGGTGGGGATTGATTTTGGGGGTTATGGTACCAACAGTTAAGGAATTAGGGGCCAAAAAGGGGCCAAAAATAAGCATTTTTGTAACTTCCAGACATAACTTGTGTGTTAGTGTATGAATCTCTCTGACATTGTACCACAAGGTTCCATATCACACAGGGAATGTTGGGATTGATTTTGGGGGTAATTGCCTCAAAATATTAGGAATTAGGGGCCAAAAAAGGGGCAAAAAACAAGCATTTTTCTAGTTTCATGACAATAACTTGTATGTAAGTGTATGGATCTTTCTGAAATTGTACTACAAGGTTCCATATCACAAAGGGAAAGCTGGAATTGAGTTTGGGGATAATTGCCCTAAACGTTTAGGAAAAAGGGGCCAAAAAGGGTGCAAAAATAAGCATTTTTCTAGTTTCCAGACAATAACTTGTGTTCAAGTGTATGGATCTCTCTGAAATTGTACTGCAAGGTACCATACCACAAAGGGAAGGCTGGGATTGATTTTGGGGGTAATTGCCTAATCTAACCGTGTATTTAGATTCTTAATTTTTGGTCCCGTTTTCAAATTGGTCTACATTAAGGTCCAAAGGGTCCAAAATTAAATTTAGTTTGATTTTAACAAAAATTGAATTCTTGGGGTTCTTTGATATGCTGAATCTAAACATGAACTTAGTTTTTTGATTATGGGCCCAGTATATATTCAAGTTGGTCCAAATCAGGGTCCAAAATTAAACTTTGTTTGATTTCAACAAAAATTGAATATATTGGGTTCTTCGATATGCTGAATCTAACCATGTATTTAGATTTTTGATATTTGGGCCCGTTTATCAAATTGGTCCACATTGAGGTTTAAAGGGTCCAAAATTGAACTTTATTTGATTTCATCAAAAATTGAATTCTTGGGGTTCTTTGATATGCTGAATCTAACCATGTATTTAGATTTTGGATATTGGAATACCACAAAGGAATGGTAAGAATTGTCTTTGGGAGTTATGGCTCAAACCGTTAAGGAATAAGGTGCAAAAAAGGGGGGGAAAAGGGTTTCCAGGTTAATGGACAATTACCTAAGTACAAAACATAATTTTAAAGGCAGTGTAAGGTTGGTAATTGAAACTCATTTGAATATCTCACCTAAACTGCTTTTAAGTTATGTATATTGGAAATTTGCCAAAAACTTTATTATTAATAAATTCCATTGGAAATTTGCCAAAAACTTTAGTTTAATGAACTTCATTGGAAATTTGCCAATATAAAATGTTGCTGATGAAGCGTTTTTGTTTATCTCACCTAAACTGCTTTTAAATTATGTATATTGGAAATTTGCCAAAAACTTTATTGTTAATAAATTCCATTGGAAATTTGCTATAAACTTTAGTTTAATAAACTTCATTGCATTTTTTCTAGTTTCCAGACAATAACTTGTATGTAAGTGTATGGATCTCTCTAAAATTGTACTGGGGGGGGGGGGGGGGGGGGGGATTTTTTTTTTCCAATTTTTTGGGGTTCATATTTTTTTTCTTCAAAGTTTTTGTAATCTTCAATTGCACAATATTGCGCAATAGCAAGAAATCTTCAATTGCACAGTATTGCGCAATAGCAAGAAATCTTTAATTGCACAGTATTGCGCAACAACACAGTATTGCGCAATAGCACAGTATTGCTCAATAGCACAGTATTGCACAATAGCACAGTATTGCGCAATAGCAAGAAATCTTCAATTACACAGTATTGCGCAATAGCAAGAAATCTTCAATTGCACAGTATTGCGCAATAGGAAGAAATCTTCAATTGCACCGGTTTGTGCAATAGCAAGAAATCTTCAATTGAAAATAAATACAAATCTTTTAACCAATTTCAATGGGATTAATTTAAAGTCTTTAATTTTTGGGGGTTCTTACCTTGTATTACTTTTTTGGATATTGGGCCCCATTTTTAGATTGGTCTACATTGAGGTCAAAAGGGTCCAAAATTAAACTTTGTTTGATTTCATCAAAAACTGAATGATTGCGGCTGTATGATATGCTGAATCTTATTGTGCATTTAGATTTTTTATTTTGGGCCCTGTTTTCAAATTAGTCCATATTAAGGTTTGAAGGGTCCAAAATTAAACTTTTTATTGATTTCAACTAAAATTAAATTTTTGGTGTTTTATTATATGCTGAATCTAACCATGTTGTTAGATTTTGGATATCAGACCATTCTAGGTAAAATGAATGTCCCATTTCAAATTTTTAAGCTCTTTGACCACATTTATTTTGTGTCAGAAACCTATATTATGTCAAAAATTTGATCACAATCCAAATTCAGACAGTATCAAGCTTGAATATTGTGTCCAAACTTGCCCCAACTGTTCAAGGTTCGACCTCTGCGGTCGTATCAGGCTGCGCTTTGCGAAGCATTTTATTAGGGATTATAAATAGTCTAGGGTATGGTGGTCATTATGACCCTAACAGCTCCTCACAGTAATTTGAAAGATATTCACCTTAAGCTGAATACCATGATTTAATTATTGTTTACAGATCTGCTAGAGAGGCAGAAGAATGTGAAAAGAAAGCTAGAGAGTCTGGCGAAGTTTTACCTACAGAGAAAAGATTTGATTCTAACTGCATTACACCAGGTAAGTTAATAAGAACTGCATTACACCAGGTAAGTTAATAAGAACTGTGTTACACCAGGTAAGTTAATAAGAACTGTGTTACACCAGGTAAGTTAATAAGAACTGCATTACACCAGGTAAGTTAATAAGAACTGCATTACACCAGGTAAGCTAATAAGAACTGTGTTACACCAGGTAAGTTAATAAGAACTGCATTACACCAGGTAAGTTAATAAGAACTGCATTACACCAGGTAAGCTAATAAGAACTGTGTTACACAAGGTAAGCTAATAAGAACTGCATTACACCAGGTAAGTTAATAAGAACTGCATTACACCAGGTAAGTTAATAAGAACTGTGTTACACCAGGTAAGTTAATAAGAACTGCATTACACCAGGTAAGTTAATAAAATTATAGTTAACTATTAGATGTACTGTAAACCTATGTAACAAGCTCTTCTGTAACATATAGAAGCCTGTGTATATCGTATAACAAAGGGAACTTGAAAATTAATTTGTATTTAGAATATAGTATAATTTTGCTGATTCTTTGAATTCTTGATTGACCAAAACTGGTGTAAGCAGTTAAAAAAACAAGAAAGAAAATTGACACTTGTAAATAACCCAATAGATAGACTAGTAAAAATGAAAAAACTTAAAGACCACAATTATGTGAGTAGTTGTATTTAACGTTCCATTCATTTGTTATTCTAAAGCTGTTCAACATTGTTTTGAAATTGTGTTATGTTTATTTTATAGATTTATTTCAAACATTTAACCTTCAGTCAAGTTTCTAATGTTCTCATTTTAAAATGTTGTAGGAACAGAATTTATGGTGACACTTCATGAACATTTGAAGTACTTTGCTGCACAAAAAGTATCAACAGATCCATTATGGCACGGGGTCAGAGTATATTTATCAGGACATGAGGTAAGGTATATGAATCCTTAATCCCGTTAATTGGAATATAAGCTTAATGATAAGTCTGACGTCTTAGTGGAAGGGCATGTTAAGATGTACATGTAAATTTCTATGCAAATAAAGACTGATTACTTTTATATCATCATTACATAATGTGTATGTTCCAACATTTACACAGCCAGTTCATTGTATGTTTTGCATTTAGGTTATATGTTAGTTTTTTGATAGTTCATTAAAAATTAGGTATCCATATAAGTCTTCTAGCTATTATTTCTATTGACCTTAAAAAAGTTTTTTGGTTTTATTTTGTAGACTCCTGGAGAAGGTGAGCATAAAATCATGGATTTTATCCGACATGATAGAACCCAGCCAGGATATGATCACAACACAAGACATTGTCTGTATGGGTTGGATGCTGATTTGGTGAGGCTCTCTTAAGGATGTATTCTTCTGAGGTTTCAGTCTCGTTGAAATCCTGTTCGGGAATTATTTCCAAAACATGTAATACAAGTGGAAAATGTCAATGAATATAAAAAATATTATAATCAAACTAAACTCTGTGAAAAAATTGTGTACTTACAATAAGTAATTTTGAGTAATAAAAATTTCAAATTTGTAACCAGTCTGGTTAATGTCATCAGCCAAAATGTTTAGAAAATAGATGAAGGTACAAAGAAATGATTTTACCAAAGATATGTACAACCCATTTCATTTTTTTCTTTTCAAAATTCTTAGATATGTATTTTGTCAATCATTTATAGCAAAGAAGTTGAAATAATATACTTTTTGTTCTAAAAAAAAAAGAGAAAAATCCCAAATTTACAAAATTGACAGCATGGTCAATTTGACACAAAAAAGCAACAAAATTTTGTAAAACTTTCTAGTATTAACACCAACCTATAGTTTTTTTTTAGTTAAATGTATACACATTGGTCCACTTCATCTTTAGTGAAAGTATGAAAAAAAATTTAATTGTGAAATTGTGATTTTTTTCATGATAATAGTACTTTCTAATGGCCGTAGCAAAAAAAGAAGTGCACCACCATATTTTTTTTGTATTCATCAGTTACTTTCTTACAGTCATATAAACCCAAAAATCAGGTTAAGAAAAAAAAATTAATTCTACAAATTTTTGGCTCCTCGGGGGTGTTCATCCTTAAAGTATAAAGAACAAACAATGTATTATACTGTCTGTCATTACATCAACATAAACTGATAAAGGAGTAAAAAAATGTATGTCTGAAATTGTATTTTGTTTATGCTGTTCATTTGGAACCTGTACTTTCTATGATAGCTGTATAATAATAATTTGTTGAGCCATTATGATTTTCTTACATTTATAAAAATAATTACTGTGTATATTATGGATTACAGATGATGTTAGGACTTTCCACTCATGAACCACACTTTTCATTATTACGAGAAGAAGTAAGATTTGGTGGCAAGAAAGATAATAAAAGGTAAATATTATATAGTAACTGACAATTGATTGGTTTCAAAAATCAGAAAAGGTCACATCTTAACCTTAATTTCATGTATCAGGTAAAATTAGAAAAAAATCTTTCAAACTGAATATTTATTTCGACGTAGTTTAGAGCTTTTGCAGAATGTTCTAAATTGTAATTTGTTCTCTTGCTTAGATATGATAACTTTAATTAAAAAAAATCTCTATGACCCCTGTAGACCTCAAGCTTTGTTACAAATTATAAACGTGTACGATAAACAATTGTGAAGTGATATTTTCCAAAGAAGTACTCATACAGTTGGTAGGTTTAACCAGATTTAAATTTTATTTTATTTCAGACCAGCAACACCAGAAGAAACAACATTTCATTTATTACATCTATCTTTGTTTAGAGAATATTTAGACTTTGAATTTAAGGACTTAAAGGTTTGTAGTTGTTTAGAGAATATTCAGACTATGAATTTAAGGACTTAAAGGTTTGTAGTTGTTTAGAGAATATTCAGACTATGAATTTAAGGACTTAAAGGTTTGTAGTTGTTTAGAGAATATTTAGACTATGAATTTAAGGACTTAAAGGTTTGTAGTTGTTTAGAGAATATTCAGACTATGAATTTAAGGACTTAAAGGTTTGTAGTTGTTTAGAGAATATTTAGACTATGAATTTAAGGACTTAAAGGTTTGTAGTTGTTTAGAGAATATTCAGACTATGAATTTAAGGACTTAAAGGTTTGTAGTTATTTAGAGAATATTCAGACTATGAATTTAAGGACTTAAAGGTTTGTAGTTGTTTAAAGAGTATTTAGACTTTGAATTTAACGACTTCAATGTTTGTAGTTGTTTAGAGAATAGATAGACCTTGAATTTAAGGACTTGAAGGTTTGTAGTTGTTTAGAGAATATATATTTAGACTTTGAATTTAAGATCTTAAATGTTTGTAGTTGTTTAAAGATTATTTAAACTTAGAATTTTAAATCTTAAAGGTTTGCAGTTGTTTAGAGATTATTTAGACTTAGAATTTAAGGACTTACAGGTTTGTAAAATGTATAAGTAATGCCAAAAAGACATAATTAACAGCACCTGGTGATGTGGGATGTATATCAATGAGACAGCAACATAATGAATCAATGAAACAAAACAAAATTCCACAAGATTGTATTTTCACTTGCAATAACCACTTGTTATGTAAAACATGTTCTTATATATAAAGATAACACTATTTAAAATTGCCAATGAATTAAGACTCTTGGACATGAAGTTTATCAGGTATTATTTGAATGCACACAGATTAAGCCATTACTTTGTATGTGCATGTGCTGATTGTAGTTTGGATTTATTCAGTGATTTATTCAGTTTATAAGTTGTTGAATCATTTCTGTAACATAACAAATTTTGATTGATTTTTTTTAGGGGAAGTTACCATTTGGTTATGATGTAGAGAAGATAATAGATGATTGGGTGTTGATGGGATTTCTAGTCGGCAATGATTTTATCCCAAATCTTCCACATCTGCATATCAGACACGATGCTCTCCCCTTACTGTGGAAAACTTACATGAACATCCTACCAGAATGTGGAGGTAATTTTAATATGTTGCTTCAGTGGGGGATTTTGATCTAAGTGTAATCACACAAATTACATGTAATCACACAAACTACTTTTCTGTTAATCTGTTTTCTGTGATGGGAAGTGATTGCTATGTTCATTTGTTGTTTTTTTTATACAAATCTTTTTTGTTCTTGGTCATTTCAAATGTATGTGTTTCAGTGTTATAAAAGGTGGACTAGCAATAAAAATGGGTAGGTGTGGGCGACAGTCATAATTCAGAAAATTAAAAAAAAAAAGTAATGTTTTACTATATGGGGTAGGGGTGGATCCACTTATGTATTTGCAGCTTCTTAATTAAAATATTTTACAGTTTATGGAATATCTTTAGTTATTATACATATATCTTTCAGGGTATTTAAATGAAGGTGGTCATTTGAATGTACCAAGATTTGCAAAGTACATGGAAGAATTGAAAAAGGTAAATGTTATTTTAGTGTTCTGTTACATATTGTTCAACATATGTTGTGCTTTATGTATGAGGAGAAACTTATATTGTTAATTTTAGAATTGATTTAGAAACTAGAAAACTTGCCCATGAAATGCTACAAGTGCTAATGAAATTGTGTACAAACAAAAAATTCATTTTAAATATTGATTACCTTTTTTCAAGAAAAATGCACATAACAGTGATTTATATCTAATTTGTTTCTCTTTGAATTTCTTTCATTTCTCTTCCCGGAATACTTTAAACAAATATTCTTTTTTTTTGGTCAAGGTCAGAGAAAACTGTTTGTTTCTAATCTAGAGCTTTGCTAGTGCTCTGTCATTTTATGTTGTTTTTATGCCCCCGCTGTAGCGGTGGGGGCATTAAGTTTTACCCTTGTCTGTCTGTACATACGTACGTCCGTCTGTACGTCCCGAAATTGGTTTCCGTTCTCTAACTTGAGTTTGCCTCAACCAAATGTTATGAAACTTATACACAATGCTTATTACCACAAAACACAGATCAAGTTTGAATTTTGGTGGCGTCACTTTAACCGTTCTAGAGTTATGCCCCTTTATAAATGGAAAAATTGCAAAATTTTTAGTTTCCGTCCTCTAACTTAAGTTTGCCTCAACCAAATGTTATGAAACTTATATACAATGCTTATTATCACAAAACACGGATCAAGTTTGAATTTTGGTGGCGTCACTTCAAACGTTCTAGAGTTATGCCCCTTTATAAATGGAAAAATTGCAAAATTTTTAGTTTCTTCTAAATATCAAGTTATTTTTAAAATTGGAGTTATCTTCCTTTGTCCATGATTATAGTTGAATCAACTACAATCAATGCTTTATACAATGCAATGTTTAATTTTGACTTCCACTGATAAAACACAGATCAAGTTGAATTTGGGTAGTGTCACTTTAACCATTATTGAGTTATGCCCCTTTATAAATAGAAAAATTGCTGAATTTTTAGTTTCTGTTCTCTACTTAAGTTAGCCTCAACCAAATGTTATGAGACTTACACACAAAACTCAGATCAAGTTCAAATTTGGGTAGCGTCACTTTTACTGTTCTTCAGTTATTTTTTTTTCATTTATGGAGTTATGCATTAGTTGTCAGATCTTTATTTGTCTTGATGAATCATCCACATTTTCCTAGGCTGTAGGCAATATGAAGCTGAACCATCTCAATGATAATATCTTACTCTGATGATTTCTGATGGATATATTCAATTTACTGTGTATTCATAATAGTTCGTTTGGTACTGATTTTCGTGGATTTTGTAAATAGAACCAAGAACTTAAATGTTCAACGAAGAATAAAAATTCCTATAGACTTGAATGGAAGCTTTGACAAAACCAACAAAATTAAAAATCGACAAAAATAGGAATTTTCTTCAATCCACGAAATTTGGTACCCACAAAAATAAATAAAATCCACTGAGCTATATACTAAAACTCAAATGTGAATTTATAAACTTTATTTTATGTTTTGAGGTTGTGTTATACAGAATTGATACTGAGGATTCCATTGGGCTTTTCCATTAAAATGTATGTGGGAGGGTATTGTAGATTTCAATATGGTTTCGCTGCAAAAATTAAAGCAGATGTTTGGTTCATAAGTGTACAATAGTATGTCACAAACTGAGTTGATAACTTGTTCCGAGTGACTTACTTTTAAATGAATGGCAGCCCTTGGACAAGAGACTGGTGATATTGTGTAATTTAGTTTCAAAAGATGTAAAAAAGAGAATGTATTGATGAGAGGGAACAAGTTGCTTTCACAGTGTTAATGTAGTTTTTCTTTGATTTCTCAATAAAAGACATATTATATTTACTACCACTGAATGAGCGCTATTTAGTATTTTTAATCAAATTTTTATTTATCTTGCAGTTTGATATTGAAAGTTTTACAAATATGTACACAGACTTAAAATGGTTAGAAGGCAAAAGACAACAAAACCATACAGAGAGTACACCAGTCAAGGTCAAGGTTAGATTTTAGAGAGAAAAAATTCTTTTCAGGATAAATCCATAGCAATTTTTATACGCCCGTTTTCGAGACGTATTATGGTATACCATTGTCCATCTGTCCGTCCATCGTCAACATGTTGGACAATAACTCAAAAGTTCTTTGAGCAGTTTTCATGAAACTTTGATGACTGGTTTATATCTATTAAAATAACCTTCCTTTAGTTTTTTATCATCCAGTTTTGGGACAGTAACTCAAAAGTTCTTTGAGCAGTTTTCATGAAACTTTGGTGAACCTCCCTTTAGCTTTTTATAGATTTCTGATATGACATTGAGGAGTAAAGAAACTTTATTCTTTGAAAAAGTGACAGGTGTATCATGCACTAATGGCACAGCTCTTTATTTAAATACATCCCATGTATTGACAATAATTTTGGAAGTATGGCAGTTATTAGTAAACCTGTGCTTCATTTTCTACTGTAAAATTAATTAAAAAAATATACTGTGATTTATATTATTTTCATAGTGAGACATAATGTGCTTGGTTTTGCTATCTCTCAGGTTCTATAGAAGTGTGAAAAACATTTCACTTAAAACTGTATTTATGTCAGAATGAGCAGCACAGTTATAAAAATCGGAAACAAATCGCCAGTGGTTCTTTCCACAAAAAATCTGAAGAGTAAAAATACTTGTTCGTCTTGCACATTTCAGTATAACTAACGATCAATTTTAATCGTAAGATTTTTTGTGAAAACAGTCAATGGTATATATTTTAACAAATAAAACCCAAATTTGATTCTGCAAAACTCAAATATAATAGTGTTACCTGAGAAACTGTTCCATATAGATAGAATTTCTAGGCATATTTTTTTTTCATCAGTATATTAACAGACAAGTTTGTATTTAACATGTGAACAGTATTTAATAAGACTTTTTATCTGCTTAATTCTGATTATAGACATATTTACACGTTTGGTATTTAGTTGAATTTTGTCTCTGAATGACCATAGATCTTTCTCCGAATAACCTTCTGACGTCATGCAACAAGCAATTTTCAATTATGACGTTTATAATGTTTTGAATTGTGATGCAATATTTTGCAGGAACTTTTGTAGTTTGAAGTAATGGCTGATAAATTTGCATACAAGTGTAAATATGTCTATTGAAATTCTGTCAAAGGATTTGATTTAAAAAAAAAATTTTTGTCATTTGTGAGTTTGTTGGGCATAAAAATCTTATGTCCGTATGTTGAAAAATGAGATGAATATCTAAATTGGGAGAATATCCACAGCACAGCTAAAATAAAATTGATTAATGATGATATTCTCATATTTCTGTCGGAAAAATTTAATAATATACATACATGACATAAGAATACTGAGATTCTTGTATAATTTCAAGTAAGTGCATTGACCTTGTCAGTTCGAGGAAGCAGGTATCCAGTTTGCCCATGAATAATGTAAATGATGTCAAATCAGAATAAAGTAAAATACTTTTTCTATTAATGGAAATGATATGAAACAAGCTTATACAAATAGCATATATTCATGTATCAGCAGTGTGGACACAATAATGAGATTTTATTGAGATTTGAGTTATATAACCTATGGTTACTATCTATATTTGTGTTATCTGACCTATGGTTACTATCTTTATTTATATTTTCTATCTTTATTTGTGTTATCTAACCTATGATTACTATCTTTATTTATATTTTCTATCTTTATTTGTGTTATCTAACCTATGGTTACTATCTTTATCTATGTTATCTGACCTATGGTTACTATCTTTATTTATATTTTCTATCTTTATTTGTGTTATCTAATCTATGGTTACTATCTTTATTTATATTTTCTATCTTTATTTGTGTTATCTAACCTATGGTTACTATCTTTATTTATATTTTCTATCTTTATTTGTGTTATCTAACCTATGGTTACTATCTTTATTTATATTTTCTATCTTTATTTGTGTTATCTGACCTATGGTTACTATCTTTATATATATTTTTAGCCATCAGTTGCTTTACAGAATCAGTTTTCAGCAATAGGTAATAGTAAAGAAGAAGATGGGGACGAGGCTTTATTTGGTGCAGGACCAGGGGCAAGCTCAGGTAAATGGAAAATTTGGATCTATGTTTTTATAAGACAATATGAATTTATATAATAATGAGAAGAATTTAGTTTTCACGATAAACTTTTTGCATCATAGGCTCTTTTTTTGGAAAATATTGTATAGATTTTTTTGGCCTTTAGTATAATAATTCTTAAATTCTTACAGGCCTGAAATAAATTTTACAAGCCTGGGCTGATGGTACTTTGGCCAAGTGTGAAAAATGAACCATCATGTTGACGTCATGTTGTGACCAAACATTTATAACAATGGATTATAACTTATAAATAATATTTAACTGTTTACATATATCTACAAATCAGCGTGAAGATTTGTATTGACGTTCCGAATGAGGTGACCTTGGAAGTTTCATATTTTATATGGTGACTGGTTTTACTGGTAGAATTTGTTTTTTTATAGGTTTCATACAAGTGGAAGAGATGTTTGATTTCAATATTTAAATAAAAAACAAAAAGCCTTTAGCAAGTTTATCATTATTGTTAAAATTCAATAACGAGTGTTAAAATCAAGCAAGGTCTAATTATCATGAGTTATTAAACATTTCTTAACATGGTAAAACTTCTCTTTGTGTGGCATTTTCATCAGATGAGATGTAGACTTATTGGAGACTTCAGTTGAAAGAAATCAACATTTGCCAATCATTGCTCCCTTTGTGCCTTGCTTGTATGCACATGGGGTCCTGTCTTGTTTTCATATTTGATGATGAATCAAGTATAGGATATAGTAGACAACATTGGGAAAGCTAGAAGTACCTGGTTCACAAACTTTTGCCAGAGAAAATATGTAATCCATCATGACCTTTGTCATCATTGAGCTAATGAACAGCCAATGGAAATGTCACAATTTTGTATCACATTGTACAATAGGTTAATCAAAAATAAGGCATTTGTGATATCAATATCTCTTATTCCTATTACTCTCGTGTCAGTGTAATACAAGAAATATCTTTTCTTCATGTGGAAAATAGACAAGTTTAAGAGAATATTATTATTATATCTGTAGAAGAACAGACCAGTCCTGCAGAAGAAGACGAAGAAAATGTAGACACATTTGATGAAGAGTTTATATTGCATAAACGAAATTATTATCAAACAAAATTGGAATTTGAAACTGTTACTGCGTAAGTTTATTGTCAGAAAAAAAAAGAAGGTATTTTTTAAGAGATATTATATAAAGAAAGATGTTCTGCAAATCAAAACTTGACATTTCAGGAAATTTGTGTAGAAAATTTCCGACATTCATATTGGTTTAATTTTTTCCTAGATATTCACATAAAACAACATTATCATAATATACTAGTTTTATGTGATTGGTTGATTGCTTATAATGTCCAGTGGCAAGTTTTGTGAGATAAGCAATGTCAATAAGTAATGTCAAAAAGCAATGTCAATAGACATTTTATTTATCTTCACATTATCAGCACAATTTCTTATTCACTTTATTTATGTTTCCTACATTGTCAAAAATTCAGGACCCAAAATGGCTAGTAATGACAAAATTTGACTATCAGCAACATTTTATTCATATTTAATACATATTGAAATAAAAAGATGTGGTATGATACTTGTATAACATTTGTTTTTTTCAGAGAGGTTTTAAGAGACCAAGCTGAAGGCTATGTCAGAGCCATACAATGGATCTTGCTTTACTATTATGAAGGTGTACCATCATGGAGTTGGTATGTATAGATAAATTTTGACCTTGATAAAAGAAAAGAAGTGGATCCAAAGTGTCCAATTAGCAAGAATGGACTCTCTCAAACCTATTCAGCCACATACAATAAAAAAAATTATTGTAATAAAAAATAAAGAATGGTTACAATTGCCCTTTGTAAGAATTCTTTCAGAATGTTTTATTAGATTTAAAAAAAAAATGAAAATGACAAATCAGAGTTTAAAAAAAAAATGAAAATGACAAATCAGAGTTTTAAAAAAAATGAAAATGACAAATCAGAGTTTAAAAAAATGGATCTGTAACAGACTTCTACATCATTTTGTCTCATTGACAATCATACTACATCATCTTATTTGTGTATTGATATTTATTTCAGGTTTTATCCTCATCATTATGCACCTTACATAAGTGATATCACAAACTTTAGTGACCTTGAGATTGAGTTTGACCTTGGAAAACCATTTTTTCCTTTCCAACAGTTAATGGCAGTACTTCCTGCTGCCAGTAAAGATCTACTTCCTGCAGCATATCAGGTAAGGGAGGTTACTCTTTATACCTTTTGAGTAAAGTTTCATTAACCTTGAGAATTTTGTTACTCTACCAGCACATTTTCCCTTCCAAGAAGTCGAAACACTCTTGTTAGTGATTGTTTATTTTTCTCCAGTTTAAGTTGTTCACATAAAAAAGGCCTAAGCTAGGGTACTTGCATATTGATGCAGAGTACATAAGGATATCTTAGATATCTTCAAAAACTATATGTTAATGCATTGTTGTCTCTTATATGCCAATTTTCTAATTTATATATACAATATCAGCTACCAAAAAGGATTTGATCCCAGTGTCACACCATGGTTACAAAATATTAAATATACCTTTCTTTTATTTGGAAATTCAGCATTGGACTTGTCTCAACCAGAAACATGATTAAACAAAACAATATACTATGAGAACAAATAATATAAAACCAATATACTTACATTTAAATTTTAATTTTCAGCCTCTGATGTTAAATGAAGATTCACCAATCATTGACTTCTATCCTGTCAATTTTCAAACAGATTTAAATGACAAGCAACAAGAATGGGAAGCAGTTGTGTTAATACCTTTCATAGAAGAGGTAAGGGGAACCAGATCACTCTTGTGAATATGTAGTAATACGTTGAAATTTTGTGGTGCAAAGATGGTTATGTGATTATCTTGCATATTTTGATAAATGTTTTTTCAAAAAATAATTATCAAAGGAAAGACATCATGAATTTTAATATTTTGCATTTCTTATTTGACTTCATCAACAAGATAAATACATGTTAGAATATCTTTGCCTGTGAATTGCTGCTATTACAACCTAAACTGTACAACTAATGACAATTGTTTTGTGCAATTTATCATTTCTATTTTATTTTTACCAAGAGTTCTTGTAGAAATGTTAGATGCTGAAACAGATATTTGTGAGGTTGAATTCATGTAAATTGTAGGTAAATTCACCTGAAACAATCTGTTTTAACTATGCAATATTTATTTCATTTACCAAATAAATCAAATAGTTCTAGATACAATACATTATTATACCCCACGCAAAGAGTTGCGGAGGATATAATGTTTTTGACCTGTTCGTCTGTTTGTCCGTCTGTCTGTCAGTCTGTCTGTCAGTCCGTCAGTCCTGTTTCTTGTCATCGCAACTCCTCTCAAACCACACAACAGAATTTCACGAAACCTTTTTAGATAATAAGGACATATTATGTAGTTGTGCATATCGACAGGAAATTACAATTCAATTCTTTTTCAAGGAGTTACGCCCCTTTGAACTTATTTACTTTAATGTACTACTGCAACAGTTTGTCATCGCAACTCCTCTCAAACCACACAACAGAATTTTATGAAACCTTTTCAGATAATAAGGACATACTACGTAGATGTGCATAAAGACAGGAAATTACGATTCAATTTTTTTTCCAGGAGTTACGCCCCTTAGAACTTATTTGCCCAATATACTACTGCAAACTTTTGTCATCGCAACTCCTCTCAAACCACACAATAGGACTTCATGAAACCTTTTCAGATAATGACATGCTACGTAGATGTGCATATCGACAGGAAATTATGATTCAATTTTTTTTCCAGGAGTTACGCCCCTTTGAACTTATTTGCCCAATATACTACTGCAACCTTTTGTCATAGCAACTCCTCTCAAACCACACAACAGAATTTCATGAAACTGTGTAGATAATAAGGATTTACTATGTAGATGTGCATATTGACAGGAAATTATGATTCAATTTTTTTTTCTGATACAATTTGTTTTCTTACACTTATTTTATTCCTCCAATGACAATGTGGAGACGTGGGGTATGTGAGCGAGCTCACTAAGGTTCTTTCATTGTGTCAGTAACCATACATTTTTTAGCACATTATTGGGGCTGGAAGAAAATGATGATCAGAGTTTTTAATGACCTTGACTGGCTATACAGCCCTGGCACGGTCGGCCCTGGCTTGCGCCTTTTTGGGCATTTAAATAATTTGTTATTACCATAAGGTAATTGAAATAATTTGAGTGATAAATAAAAAAAAAAAAAAACCTAATATGATTAAAAAGAAAAAATAAGCAAAATTTTAAAGGATAGAATATTTGCCAGCATGTGTAGAGTTTGATTGCTTTCATTTATGTACTAAAATTGATGCTGACTGTTAAATTTACTGCTCTGACTTCATAGGTTAGATTGATAAGAGCTATGAAAGATGTCGAAAATAGATTGACAGAAAGGGAAAAGGCCAGAAATAAGCATGGACCCTGTCTGTTATATGAATATACAACTGAGGATCAAGGTCCATACCAGTCTTCAATGCCTGGTGTGTTCCCTGACTTAGGAGTGAACTTTGCTTGGTAAGTGGTCCATGATTCTTATAATTAAAAAAAAAGGCATTTTGTTGTTTTTAAACAACTGCAGAATCAATATGTATAATTCTTTTTCTGTATTACAAGCCAGAGCTACATAGTATCACCAATTACATCTGTTTCAGTAAAAACAAGACCATATCTCTTATATAATACATGATCTTTGATAATGTGGGATGTGCTTTCATTTTATGTACTATGTACAGGCCATTCAATAGGAGGCAGTAACCTGTACTTTAACCCACCTGTGCTACTGATATAAAGTACCGCCTGAATTTAGGAATTTTCATATAAGGTATTCATGGAATATACGGAAAGGTACCACCTAATAATGGAAAAAATAACAGTTAACAAGAAAGATAATGAACCCCTGACTATGTACATAGCTAAAATCAGTTGTATGACAAAAAATGATATTGAGAGAAAGTTGAGGTAATTTTTACATGAGTCTTCTGTTGCTTTTCAGTATAAAAGAAGTTTATATGGAAGATTTCTATGTGGAGAAGGGAATGCTGAGGAAAGGACTTTTACCTGATTGCAAATTAGATGTATATTACCCAGGATTCCCTACTATGAAACATATTCCTCATACTGTAAGTCAAGGTCAGATGTATATTACCCAGGATTCCCTACTATGAAACATATTCCTCATACTGCAAGGTCAGATGTATATTATCCAGGATTCCCTACTATGAAACATATTCCTCATACTGTAAATCAAGGTCAGATGTATATTACCCAGGATTCCCTACTATGAAACATATTCCTGATACTGTAAGTCAATGTCGGATGTATATTACCCAGGATTCCCTACTATGAAACATATTCCTGATACTGTAAGTCAAGGTCAGATGTATTTTACCCAGGATTCCCTACTATGAAACATATTCCTCATACTGTAAGTCAAGGTCAGATGTGTATTATCCAGGATTCCCTACTATGAAACATATTCCTCATACTGTAAGGGATCATAGATTTATTCTTACGAGGAAGCTCCGAGCATGCTCGGAGGATGCTCGGAGCTTTTTAAGTAGGCTCTTCTCAGCAGTTTATGTGATAATAATTATCATGATCCATTAAGATGTCAATCAAATCTATAGCACTTCTATAATAAGGAAAGTAAAGCATTATAGAGGAAGCTCAATTAACACCTGTGTAAACATCTGTTCTATTCAAATACATTTTGCATGAAATTTACAAAACTATAAAATAGATTAGAAATTCTTCAACAGTACTATGAAATGCTTGGAAAGAAATGTCAAGTCTTCACAAAAAGTAAAAGTCATTAAAATATTTTCTTATTATATTGAATAACCATTCTTTTTTAATAATAAAAAAATTCTTAAATTTTATAAATAGATTATATAATTTAGATATAGTTTATACTATATAATATGCTACATAAAAGTCATCAAGACACAAACAACAGTCAGGGGGCGATACTAAACAAGTTATTTTTTTTTAGTTACTTATAATTTCTTTGTTTTTAAAAATTATTTAATAACTCAATAGTTATTTTAAATGTCAATAGAAGCATGGACTAAATGTAGTTTTTAAGAATTTTTATATAATTTTATTAAATGAAATTAAGTATTTATCAAATGTGAGATGAGTATAGAGATAAAAGGTTACTTTAAAAATAAGGACAAAATTATTACTTTTATAAATTATTTTATACATCTTTGAAAAACTTAGTACTTATAATTATTATGGAACATATGTTATTGTTTTAGATTACACATTATAAATAACTTCAAGTCTTAATTAAATCACAAGGTTCCATCTATTTATATTTGTCTACCATTAAGATTTTAAAGGAAAATGGTATTTTAATAGTCCCAAGAGGACAATCTTTGACCCAGAAGCGTGGCTTAGAAAGGCAATTAGTGTTTCAGGAGGACTAGTTTTATATTTCATGGGAAAAATAACCAGATGTCTGTGAAAATTTGTTAAAGCTATTAAATAAAATTGAGAATGGAAATGGGGAATGTGTCAAAGAGACAACAACCCGACCATAGAGCAGACAACAGCCGAAGGCCACCAATGGGTCTTCAATGCAGCGAGAAACTCCCGCACCAGGAGGCGTCCTTCAGCTGGCCCCTAAACAAATATGTATACTAGTTCAATGATAATGGACGTCATACTAAACTCCAAATTATACACAAGAAACTAAAATTAAAAATGATACAAGACTAACAAAGGCCAGAGGCTCCTGACTTGGGACAGGCGCCAAAATGCGGCGGGGTTAAACATGTTTTTTTAGATCTCAACCCTCCCCTATATCTCTAGCCAATGTAGAAAAAAACAAACGTACAACAGTACACACAGTAAAACTCAGTTTAAGAGAAGTCCGAGTCCGATGTCAGAATAGGAAACAAAAGAAAATAAACAAAATGACAATAATACATAAATAACAACAGACTACTAGCAGTTAATGACCTGTATGAATGGACACATATAGAAATGATATTAAAATAAGTTACTTATACATGAAATAGAAGTAATATATGATATAGCTTTGTTCTCAACATAAATTGCATAGGTGATTTTGAAAAAAATAATTGTTTAAGTAATGCCCCTAACTAAACAATGGTAATATGTGTTGTTTTTTTTTATATATAAAATAGCAAACTTAGTTCTTTTATAGAAAATTATGGCTACTTTAGGAAGGCTGGTTTGAAGGAGTAATATCACCATTGTTTTCACCTAGTACGTCTCTGTTTAATTGACTTTTTTTTTAATTATGTAGAATTTATCTTTGTTTTAAATATAGAGATATTTGGCATGAGTCAAGTTTTATTCAGTCCATTACTACAGGGAAAATTTAACATAAAATTGTTTTTCCCCCATAAGTCTTTGTTTAATTTGCCTTTTTTTTTTAAATGTGATGAATTTATCTATGTTTTAAATAAAGAAATACTCTACATGAGTGAAGTTTTATCCTGTCCAGTACTACAGTGAAAATACAACATAACTTTTTATTGCAGATAAGATATCAAACGTCACCAGAAGTTAACCAGTCAAATTCCTCTCCCCCTTTTTTTCCTGTTATCAGCTTTAGTAGCAATGTCCCCTTAAATTTCCAAAATATTTTATAGCAACACCAATAGAATTTTTTATTGCTTTGAAACACCCAAGATACATGTTAACGACCCCCCAAAAAAATAAATTCTGCAATGAAATGCAGGGTTTATTTCCAACAACTGTCAAATTAAATGGAATATAAAAGAAAATCAACCATTTTTGGCTTGAAACTGAATGTACTATATTTTGGTGGTATTACACCTGAAAGAATTTTGACAATATAACGGAGTAAAATAAATGGATTTTAGTTCAGCAATCCTCTATTTCCTTTTCTCGAATGACTTTTCAATATATATAAACAACTTCTATCAAAAGGAAAGTAAAGCTATGTAGAGGAAGCTCAGTTAACTCCTGTATGTAGAAAGTCATTTTTTTATATAGGCCTTTATCAGTACATACTATCAATATAAAACAGATCCTAAAAATATAAATATATATACTAAAAAAAATTTCTATAAGAATCAAACTGTTATTTTTTTTTTTCTTTTTAGCTTCATGAGTATAATTATAAAAAAAAAAAACATAAAACAAAGTTGGTAAGAATTTTAGGCATAATTATGTTCATTAGTATAGAACATTGTGGCAGTTGTTTGGAGTTGAATTAATTATTTTTTGCTTGTTTTATGTTATTCAGTATTCAATTTATACAAGTAGAATATGATCACACAATTCAAAAGTAAATATTGATACAAGTCGCTCTGCAATCTGTCCAATAATACTGTTTAGAAATCTGTGTAGGCACAAAACATTATTATCAAAGGTTTATATCACAGCATGATACATTATATAAACATTATAGTTTGAGAGAATAACCCATTTTACAGTTTCAGTAGGGATAATTATCTTAGAGCATCCTCTTTTATGGTCCATATTAAATATTTTGTTAATATTAAAATGCTGTATGCTGTTAAATAAAAATCATCTTCAACAATAATAATTGATTCCTATTTTAAATACAGTTATAAAAAAATAAGATAGAAACTGATGATATTAGATTATTTTATATATGGTAGATAAATAATAATTTAACCCCTAAACTAAAGTGGTATAGTCGTGACTACCTATTGTCATGTTCCTACAGTCATGAGAGTCGTATGCTGGATCAAAAATGCTTTTAAGCAAACCAATTGAACTATAATTACTATACATCTTTAAATATTTGTAAGTGAGGGACCTAGAATATATAAGTCAAGTCTGCAAATTATTCAAGAAAATTGCCTGTTCTCTAGGCCTCATGCAAACACTAAAACTTCTAAATTTCATTTTCCCAACTTGAAATAAATTATTACAAGAATTTTCAACTGCAGTTATAACACATGACATAGTATAAAATAACAGTATGTTTTAAACTGGTATTCAATTGACTTAAAGCATTAGGGTAATGAATCAAAATTCTAAATTTTAAGCAGACAGCAAAATAGATTGTGTAAATGACTTCTCATTTTGATGATGATTTGCTCTTCTGTTCACATATATAAATAGAAAAATGAGGTTGATATGAAATGGAAATCTTGCAATTATCATTCAGGGATATCAAATGTAATTATGACTTTCTGCATTTTGATTAAGCTTAAAAGAGATACTTGAAAAAATAAGTTGACATTTTTTATACAAATCAATGTAATGAAGAACTAGAATTTAAAATAAAAGACAAAAGGGATTCCAGAACAAAGTATAATTTTTTGTTGTAAAGTTTTTGGTCCACTGAATCCATTTAATTATCATAAAAACAAAATCAAAAAATTTATTCAAGAAATAGATATAGAGGATTGCTGAACTAAAATCAATTTATCATAATTATTATATTGTGAACAGTCTCTCAACCCAGCCTATGAATTACAACTTTTTCCCAAAGTAGCCATCATTTTCTATTAAAGAACTAAAGTTTGCTATTGCATATAAAGTTTGACAAATGATTATAAATCTACTACCATAGTTTTTGTCTTTGGTGACTTTTATGTTTAATTTTATGTAGTACATGTATAAATTTAATTAAGCTACATTTATATTTTAAATATATAATTTGAGTATTTTTTTTTGTATTGAAAAAGAATGATTATAAATAAGAAAATATTTTAAAAACATTATCTTTCTGTGAAGGCTTGATATTTCTTGCCAAGCATTGTACAGTACTATTGAAGAATTTCTTATCTATTTTATAGTTTTGTAAAATTTCATTCAAGATTTATTTGAATAGACCAGATGTTTACACAGGTGTTAATTGAGCTTCCTCTATAATGCTCTACCTTCCTTATTATAGAAGTGCTATAGATTTGATTGACATCTTAATGGATCATGTTAATTATTGTCACATAAACTGCTGAGAAGAGCCTTCTAAAAAAGCTCCGAGCATCCTCTGAGCATGCTCCGAGCTTCCTCATAAGAATAAATCTATGATCCCTAAGTCAAGGTCAGATGTATATTACCCAGGATTCCCTACTTTGAAACATATTCCTCATACTGTAAGTCAAGGTCAGATGTATATTACCGAGGATTCCATTCTTTGAAACATATTCCTCATACTGTAAGTCAAGGTCAGATGTATATTATCCAGGATTCCATGCTTTGAAACATATTCCTCATACTGTAAGTCAAAGTCAGAGTGCTAGATCTACTTCAAAATAACTTATATTTTCATCCGATGTTTCTATCAGAATAGATATAATGAATTTGAAAAATTCATAAAGATAATAATAGATGTTGGGTAAATGTCAATGAGATAGCAACCAAGCAACACTAGTATTTAAAAATAAGTACATAGAGGTCCCCATCATATGGTCATCATTGGTGGACAAGCACTCAAACAACTTTAAAGATGGGCTTTGATTGAATTGAAAGTGTATACAATTGTATGATATACCAACCTTTACTGGTAGGCAAGACACTAGTAAAGTTTTGTATTGTTATATTAAAACATAGAAAAACACAGAGGAACACATGTTTACTTTTGTGTTTCTTGAAATATAAAATTTCTCTACAATTGATAGTTTTATTTTCATTTATTTTCAGGCATTTTTGAAGAAATGTAACGTCAAAGTGTTTCAGATGTGTAGCAAGGGAGAGAATATGATGTTACAGATACTTGGCTCAGACGAGGACCGAGTAAGGCCGAGGGCAAGTCATTATATCATCCATCATTTGTTGTGTCTTTGTTGTATGGACATCATCTTGTCAAAATAAAATTTATTGAATGAAAAAAAGCATCTGATTATATATTACAATTAATGTGAAACTGTATTTACAAGATTACAAGATAAAGATAACTTTTTATTTCCATGAAAATATTACATATTGACTTCAATACTATACTAAGATAGTACAGAAATTTCTATCTTTTCAACATGTACATGTATAAGAAATTTTTGTTTGTAAATAATGAAATCCAAACACAATTTAAAAAAAAAATTGAAAATTTTCGTAACTTTTTTTTAAACCTTTGCGGCAATAAAAGTTTTTTGCTAGATGCCTGTCCTTGCATGTATGTTTTGTTATACCTAGTTATTCATTAAATCATAATCATTTGGTGTAGGATAGAGGTATATGTTACTTCTAGAAGACGTAGTATGTTTGGGGCGTATCTTCTTTAGAAAGTCATGTTTTAAAGGATTTTTTAATAACTATTAGGCATTGTTGATTTATGACAAGTTTTCCCTTTTAGTTCAAATATAATTACCATTTTAATTTTTCACCAATTGGAGAAATTCTTTAGATATTCCACCATCTGTAGCATGTCAAGCATTAAAGCATAAAATCAAATGGAATGACTTGCATGATATTTATTTTGTGTTTTTAGCATGATTTTTTTCTGTTTCTTAATATATACTCTTTATAACAAACTTTTGTAAAACAAGTTTTCTGGAACATCTAAAAGAAGGTTAAATTTAAAAAAAATGATATTAACTCTTAATAATAATAAAAGTTATTATAAAAGCTTTTGTTAAGAGCTAAAAGAAAGTTTAATTAAGAAAATAATATTGTCAAATCTTGAATAAAGATTAATAGTCTGATGGAATACCTTTCTACATATATGTGAAAAAAATTGTTTAATATTCAGATATTGAAACAAACAGTGATACATTTCTGATTATTAAATTGGATGTAGAGTTAACATTTTAATCATTATCATTGACAGGTATTAGAAGATGTAGCTAAAGATTACATAGATGAAATTGTACATGTTGGTTGGCCTCATTTATATCAAGCTAAAGTTATTTCTGTCTCAGATGATGAAAACAGGTTAGCGGCCTCATTTATATCAAGTTAAAGTAATTTCTGTCTCGGACGATGAAAACAGGTTAGCGGCCTCATTTATATCAAGTTAAAGTAATTTCTGTCTCGGACGATGAAAACGGGTTAGCGGCCTCATTTATATCAAGTTAAAGTAATTTCTGTCTCGGACGATGAAAACGGGTTAGCGGCCTCATTTATATCAGCTAAAGTAATTTTTGTCTCAGACGATGAAAACAGGTTAGCGGCCTCATTTATATCAAGCTAAAGTAATTTCTGTCTCGGACGATGAAAACGGGTTAGCGGCCTCATTTATATCAAGCTAAAGTAATTTCTGTCTCAGACAATGAAAACGGGTTAGCGGCCTCATTTATATCAAGCTAAAGTAATTTCTGTCTCAGACGATGAAAACGGGTTAGCGGCCTCATTTATATCAAGCTAAAGTAATTTCTGTCTCGGACGATGAAAACGGGTTAGCGGCCTCATTTATATCAAGCTAAAGTAATTTCTGTCTCAGATGATGAAAACGGGTTAGTGGCCTCATTTATATCAAGCTAAAGTAATTTCTGTCTCAGACGATGAAAACAGGTTAGCGGCCTCATTTATATCAAGCTAAAGTAATTTCTGTCTCAGACGATGAAAACAGGTTAGCGGCGTCATTTATATCAAGCTAAAGTAATTTCTGTCTCGGACGATGAAAACAGGTTAGTGGCGTCATTTATATCAAGCTAAAGTAATTTCTGTCTCAGACGATGAAAACAGGTTAGCGGCCTCATTTATATCAAGCTAAAGTAATTTCTGTCTCAGACGATGAAAACAGGTTAGCGGCCTCATTTATATCAAGCTAAAGTAATTTTTGTCTCAGACGATAAAAACAGGTTAGCGGCCTCATTTATATCAAGCTAAAGTAATTTCTGTCTCAGATGATGAAAACGGCCTCATTTATATCAAGCTAAAGTAATTTCTGTCTCAGACGATGAAAACAGGTTAGCGGCCTCATTTATATCAAGCTAAAGTAATTTCTGTCTCAGACGATGAAAACAGGTTAGTACAGTTGGATAGGATGATTATTTTTTTGGGAGGCTGAGCTGTCCAAGCAGTCTTAGTACGTCATCTAAAGTGACTAGTCTGTTGTCGCTGAAGCTTGTAGTGAGATGTGTTCTACTTTGACATTTATTGACAAGCAATGTAAGTGTTTTTCTTCAGGTAATCTCCGGCTTACTCAGCAAATAAAAATGTCATGATATAGCCAAGGGTGGCGAAAGTAGTATTGAACACTAAGGAAAAAATAAATTTTAGGAGTATTTGCAGTTTAAGTCCTAGTATAATTGATTATTTTTGTTTAATATATCATCTAGTTCCTTGCATTACCGAAAGCTTAGTTGACCTTATATATAAATTATATGCATATTTTATGACTGTTGGACTTTGATAATCTTAGGTGTAGAAGTCTCTCTTAGTATCAAGATATTCAGTATTCAATAAAGACAGGTTGTTTAAAAAAGTAAAATGTTTTCACAGATTTGTATCTACTGATGATGGGACAAAGAAAGTAAAAGGCAAACCTAAGATGATGAAGCATACCTTGAATGAGGAAGAAAGAGGTTTATGGCACAGAGAAGTGGACAGTATTACTATGAGGTCAGTTTCAAAAATACATTAAAAGTTCCTATTTTTAAATACTGGATGTGACACGATATAGACATGATTTTGTTGTTAAACTCCCAGTAGTTCTGTAATAATTATTTGAAGATTTAAAAATGTGTTGTTACTATATTTATACTCATAATTTGCAGTATTTATAAAAGAAGCATTGGTATTTCTTTAGTATTGAACACATGTATGTCCATTTATGACTTTGAATGCAGTTTTACTGGGTATATTTTTTTGAAATATCTAGTAGCTCTAGATGGCCATCTTAACATTTACATTGTTTTTACGTACAGATACCATGACAGACAAGGTGTAGATGTTGGACCAACCTTCTTTTTAGTCAAAGCTTTACCTGTTAATGGCAAAAAGTAAGTTTTATAAAGTAACTTTAATTACTTTAGCATACGTTGGCTTGAACAAATGTTAGTTGACTTTCAGTGCTTACTTTAATTTACAATTTACAAGACTAACTAAGAAATACTTAAATTTTCATTAAAATTGCTTAACAATATGGATTAGGCAAATGTTAAAAATGATTTATAGAATTAAAAGAAATAAAGGTGCTAAGAAAAAGCATGAAACATAAGGTAAACAAATTTTATGTAATGAAACAAGATATGGGTTTAAAGTTCAATGAGAAAGCAACTTAATACCATATGGAAATTAAAAAGATATTTAGTTATTGCTAAACCTAACCCTAGTTATTTATTGTGGTTAAGTGAACATCTGGAGCCATCAGATGTAAGCTTTCTACTGAAATTCTGTAAAAAGATATTTACATTGAATAAAATTAGGTCGGGTTTGAATTAAAAAAGCCTCAATAGACATCTAGAAGCTCTATTCAGTGTTAGGGGGTAAGGGAAAATCATGCTCTTGATGTTTCTAATTATGTACTTTTCATTGATACCTTTATTTAGATATAAGAAGATGTGGTATGAGTGCCAATGAGACAACTCTCCATCCAAGTCAAAATTTATAAAAGTAAACCATTATAGGTCACAGTACGGTCTTCAACACGGAGCCCTGGCTCACATTGAACAGTAAGCTATAAAGGGCCCCAAAAAATTACTAGTGTAAAACCGTTCAAACGGGAAAACCAACGGTCTAATCTATATAAAAAACGAGAAACGAGAAACACTTATGAACCACATCAACAAACGACAACTACTGAACATCAGATTTTCTGACTTAGGACAGGTGCAAACAAATGCAGCGGGTTTAAACATTTTAATGGTACCAAACCTTCACCCTTTTTCTGAAACAATAGTGTAACATCACAACATAGAAAGACACACTATAAAATATCAACTGAAATAGCTTAACTCAATCAAAGGACATATTAACACCATTGAACATACACTGAACAAATAAATTTGACCTATGACACAATGTAAATACAAAATAAATAAACTAAGGGAAGAATAATAAAAGTAACATGTTATATCGGTAAGAAATGTTAAACAATTAAAAAAAACCAATATGCTCGAACAAAAATACCATCCATTTGCAATAACTTTAAACACAGGTAAATGAAAATAATTTTGTTGTTAGGTATACGTGTATAGTACCAATAGAGAAAGGAAATATTTTTACAAAATAAATAATATTGATGTTCATAGTACGAAGTGAAAATTTATAGTTATACCAAACACTTATCAAAGCTGGTATATAGACCAGATATAACCCTGAATAACATTAAATAACAAAAAAGCAATACAATTAGTATCAACAGGTCAAATAAACAAGAAAGTACGATTTGAGAGTACTCGCAGTTACTGACAGCTAGTTAAAAGCCAAAACAATTAATAATAAAAAATCATGCATCAGAGACTAAAATCAACTAAAACACATCCCAGGGATTTAGTATTTTAACGTCAAGGACAGTCAAAGAAGACATGACTAGTGCAATGCCAAAAATAAATGTATCGACAGACAGTAGGATAGTTAGGAGTTTAACCTCTTTATAGATCTAAACGAACGTGGGTGTGTCTTTATACATCCCACTTGAAAAAAATACAAATTTAGTTATGTTTTAATTTGCTGATGACAAAATTGATATTAGTGCCAATGTAAACTATATTCAAAGATCTAATTACAACATTGGTAAGATAACCTTTACTAATAAGCCTGTTTAAAGGTTCGATGAGTTTACACGGATCACATAGTGATTTCCGTGCTTTAAGTACAATATTACCGTAAAATTTAGGATGTGAAATACCGTTTTTAATCAGTTTTCTACAAGTACAGCCAAATTTACTAATCAAATCTTTGTATCTATGAAAGAACTTAAAAAGTCATTATATGTTAACAGGTATGTTTGTGAAGCACATGGTAACATAATTTTAGAGAAACAGTTTGCCTTTTTACCTATTCCATTTGTTCTACAAGCTACGTGCAAGGTAAGTAATTCTATAACATCAGTGAAAGTGGTAAATGTCATGCAATTTGATAAACCATTATCTATATATGTCATAGATAAAATGCAGATAAAATTAGATATATGATACATGTATAATGTTTGTTTTAGATACCAGCGACAATGCATTAATGAGGTTATATACTCCCCAAATAAAGATGATTTATTTTATTTATTAATACAATTTCATGGCAGATAGTTTTGCTGTTGTACTGTAAACACAGAAATTGTTTCATGTTTTTTAATCTGGAAAAATGTGGCAGGTTTTATGTGTAATAGTTTCTGAATTGACTACTGTAAATTCAGAAATTATTGCGTGCATTTATTATTGCGATTTTGTCATTTTAGACTTAAATGCGATTTTATTTTTTGCGATATTGGGGAAAATCCTGTTTAATTAGGGCCCCGCTGAATGGCGGCCGCCCTATAGTGATCAGTCTGTCCGTTCGTCTGTCCGTCCGTCTGTCTGTCCGTCCATCCGTCCTTAACAAATTGTGTCTGCTCTATATCTAGAGAACCGTTATGATTTCAAAGTTTATACTTGACATGTATATTAACCAACACCAGAGGGTGTGTCATAATGTATGTTCAACTTCCTAGGTCAAAGATCAAGGTCAAAAACTTTGGTTTTAGTTGACAACCCCATGATCTATGGTAAAGATCGTGTCTGCTCTATATCTTGAGAACCGTTAGGATTTCAAAGTTTTTACTTGATATGTATATTAACCAACACCAGAGGGTGTGTCATAATGTATGTACAACTTCCTAGGTCAAAGGTCAAGGTCAAAAACTTTGGTTTTAGTTGACAACCCCATGTCCAATGATAAAGATACAAATTTTTTGCCACACATTATTCACAGCGGCGCCAACAGAGATGGCTCCCATCTCAATGATATCTAGTTCATATAAATAAATTTCAAAATGTGAGTTTAAATTATTGCGATTATAACCCTGTCGCATTTTTCCCAATAATAAAAACATCACAATTATTTCTGAATTTACAGTGTACTATAAATACCAAAGTGGTTAGGACAAACTATTCATCTTAAAAGATAAAAATAGGTGTGATTGAGTGCAATATCTATGTTAAAATTGAGAATGGAAATGGGGAATGTGTCAAAGAGACAACAACCCGACCATAGAGCAGACAACAGCCGAAGGCCACCAATGGGTCTTCAATGCAGCGAGAAACTCCCGCACCCGGAGGCGTCCTTCAGCTGGCCCCTAAACAAATATGTATACTAGTTCAGTGATAATGGATGTCATACTTAACTCCAAATTATACACAAGAAACTAAAATTAAAAATGATACAAGACTAACAAAGGCCAGAGGCTCCTGACTTGGGACAGGCGCAAAAAATGCAGCAGGGTTAAACATGTTTTTTGAGATCTCAACCCTCCCCCTATACCTCTAGTCAATGTAGAAAAAACAAACGTACAACAGTACGCACAGTAAAACTCAGTTTAAGAGAAGTCAGAGTCCGATGTCAGAATAGGAAACAAAAGAAAATAAACAAAATGACAATAATACATAAATAACAACAGACTACTAGCAGTTACTGACATGCCAGCTCCAGACCTCAATTAAACAGATTGAAAGAATATGTCTTCATCATATGAATATCAGGCACAATCCCTCCTGTTAGGGGTTTAGTATTATACCATCATAAAATATATGAGAAGAACATAACCCGTGTCATGCCAACAACTGGTTTTAGAATAAATATGTTTAATTCCGATGCAAAGATCCTAGATTGGTTGTTGTTCAGAGGTTCACCAAGAAAGGGTCCTGTAATATGAATTTTAAAATATGAATATAAATTGTTATAATATGAATATCGGTACTGTTAATATGGGGTCATCAAACTAACTTTTTACTTTATAATATAGCAGTTTGTTGCTTGACTTTTTTTTTTACTTTTTCAGCAGCACTGGTAACAAAAAATGAAAAAAAAAGCATTGTGCCTTAGGGATGCAGGAAATACAATTTTATGAAAAGCTATGTTTTTCCAAAATAATTCCAAGAAAGAAAAAAAGAATGGGAAATCAATTGGGTTTTTCAATAGAGAAATTTAAAGTAACAGGTACAAAGTTTGAAAGTTACTCATGCATATTTTTTTATATTCATATGCAGATCTTCATGCTCTAGTTGAATGCAAGATTTAATCAAAAACTTAAAAATAATCCATTTATGTTCCCATCACGTAAAATATATTTTTGCAAATTACATTGATTTTTTTTTATTTAAAGAATAACAGAAAGTTCAATAATTTTGGTATTTTTTTCAGAATATAGCTGTACATGATCCTACATACCAAGCCTACAGAACATTGTCAGAGTTGTTCCCACCTAAACAATCAATATTCATGATGGGATCACCACACTATGGATGTCAAGGAGAGGTACATGTAGTCACATAAATGTTTTGCATTAAAATTTACTATCCAATCTGAGGGGTTTAGGTTGTTGATTTGAAGGTTTGGGGTTTGTCCAGCAATAGGGTGGTGTTTACCCAACATCCTTTATCCTAATCCTTAGATTGTTATATTAATTATCACTTAAATTTGTTGAAAAATACTATATATTACAATTTTTACACTGTTTTGACCTGAGGCAAGGCAATGAAATCTTAGCTGTGTTTATTTTTTGGGTTTCATAATCTTGTACAATGCATTTAAATGAACAGTGCATTTTTTTGTGGGGTAAATTTTGCGGTTGAATGTTTACAGCAAAAATAGTGGAAAATTATGCACAGGTGAAATTTGCCCTTTATACAACATTCCATAAATATGTTCTATCCTTTTCCCAAGAGACAAAAAACCTTTATCCCTAAAATTAAGAATATGAATATCTGATATGGAGATGAAGAAATTTAGAATATTTATCAGGTTTAAACTTGAGATTCTGCTATTCTCAATATCTGCCATATTGTAATGGTTGTAGTCAGACTGTTGTTCCCTTGGATACAAGCAACTGTCAATAACAAAGTTTAAAGACATTGAATCTTGGGGCAACCTGTTTCTGAATCAAAAGCAGAATCCAAACAAATTCTGTCTGTAAAATTTTTGAAAATAATTTTACTATGTACAATGCATCAGAACTGATAGAAAACCATTGATAAACTGACCTTAAAATAAGATATACTATTATTGACATTACAAATTGCAAACATGTTTTTTTTATGCCCCCACGTAGCGGAGGGGACATTAAGTTTTACCCTTGTCCGTCTGTACGTCCGTCCGTCCAATATTTGTTTCCGTTCTCTAACTTTAGTTTGCCTCAACCAAATGTTATGAAACTTAAACACAATGCTTATTACCACAAAACACAGATCAAGTTTGAATTTGGGTGGTGTTACTTTTATGCCCCTTTACAAATAGAAAAATTGCTAATTTTTTTTTTTAATGCATAAATTTTTCATGCAGGGGTTAAACTTGTGCATCAAACCATAATTTCGACCTTCATGCCAATTTTGTTGCTTTCTACAAACTATTTATGTTGGGGATATTTTCGTACATTTTACATGAATGTGGAATAAGGGAAAATAACCCCTGTGCTAAAATTTCCAGGTTTACCAAAAAATTATCTACACCCTTTAGGTATTAGAAGTAGACGAAGGTGAAAATCCTCGTGTAAGAATACACGTCTCTATACCAGATGAACCAGATTTCCAGAGGATTGAGGCTCATCCAGAGGTAAGCTTTGTGTTCAAGGATATATTGACAAAAGTTGGTTAATTTTTTGTGATTCTAAATATTTTGATAATACCAAAGACATTTATCAAATTTATTCTAGAAGTTTGCTTTTTTTCTTGATTGGTCAAGAATTGAAAAATTTGGAAAAAGTCATTTTACCAGTGCATTGATTTTTATACGACCGCAAAAATTGAAAATTTTTTGGTCGTATATTGGTATGACGTTGGCGTCGTCGTCGGCGTCGTCGTCGTCGTCGTCGTCCGAAGACACATTGGTTTTCGCACTCTTACTTTAGTTTAAGTGAATGGATCTCCATGAAATTTTACCATAAGGTTCAATACCATGAAAGGAAGGTTGGGATTGATTTTGGAGGTTATGGTACCAACAGTTAAGGAATTAGGGGCCAAAAAGGGGCCAACAATAAGCATTTTTGTAACTTCCAGACAATAACTTGTGTGTAAGTGTATGGATCTCTCTGACATTGTACCACAAGGTTCCATATCACAAAGGGAAGGCTGTAATTGATTTTGGGGGTAATTGCTTCAAAATGTTAGGAATTAGGGGCCAAAAAAGGGGCAAAAAACAAGCATTTTTCTAGTTTCATGACAATAACTTGTGTGTAAGTGTTTGGATATTTCTGAAATTCTACTACAAGGTTCCATATCACAAAGGGAAAGCTGGAATTGAGTTTGGGGGTAATTGCCCGAAACGTTTAGGAATTGGGGGCCAAAAAGGGGCCAAAAATAAGCATTTTTCTAGTTTCCAGACAATAACTTGTGTTCAAGTGTATGGATCTCTCTGAAATTGTACTGCAAGGTACCATACCACAAAGGGAAGGCTGAGATTGAGTTTGGGGGTGATGAATCATAAGGGGGTTCAAAAAATTTTGGGGGGGGATTTTTTTTTTTCTTTTTTTTTTCTTTTTTTCCTTTTTTTTTTCTTTTAAAATTTTCCATTTTAAGTTGGTTATTTCTGATTTATATTTAAAAGCAAATAATAATGATATGGTAGGAGATACACACCAAACAGGATGTGTAAATTATTATATAATAAGTATTGTGCAATAGCAAGAAATTTTCAATTGCACAGTATTGCACAATAGCAAGAAATCTTCAATTGCACAGTATTGCGCAATAGCAAGAAATCTTCAATTGCACAGTATTGCGCAATAGCAAGAAATATCCAATAGCACAATATTGCGCAATAGCAAGAAATTGTCAATTGTACAGTATTGCGCAATAGCAAGAAATAATCAATTGCACAGTATTGTGCAAAAGAAGATACTTCGTATAAATTGCTTATTTCTTGATCAATTTCAATGGGGTTTTATTCTTGAATTCTTGGGTTCTTTAATATGCTGAATCTAACCGTGTATTAAGTTTTTGGATTTTGGGCCCCGTTTTTAAATTGGTCCACATTGAGGTCCAAAGGGTCCAAAATTTAACTTTGTTTGATTTCATCAAAAATTGAATTATTGGGGTTCTTTGATATGCCGAATCTAACCGTGTATTTAGATTCTTAATTTTTGGTTCTGTTTTTCAAATTGGTCTACATAAAGGTCCAAAGGGTCCAAAATTAAACTTAGTTTGATTTCAACAAAAATTGAATATATGGGGTTCTTTGATATGCTGAATCTAACCATGTATTTAGATTTTTGATTATGGGCCCAGTTTTCAAGTTGGTCCAAATCGGGGTCCAAAATTAAACTTTGTTTGATTTCAACAAAAATTGAATATATGGGGTTTTGTAATATGCTGAATCTAACCGTGTATTAAGTTTTTGGATTTTGGGCCCCGTTTTTAAATTGGTCCACATTGAAGTCCAAAGGGTCCAAAATTTAACTTTGTTTGATTTCATCAAAAATTGAATTATTGGGGTTCTTTGATATGCCGAATCTAACCGTGTATTTAGATTCTTAATTTTTGGTTCCGTTTTCAAATTGGTCTACATAAAGGCCCAAAGGGTCCAAAATTAAACTTAGTTTGATTTTAACAAAAATTGAATTTTTAGGGTTCTTTGATATGCTGAATCTAAACATGTATTTAGATTTTTGATTATGGTCCCAGTTTTCAAGTTGGTCCAAATCGGGGTCCAAAATTAAACTTTGTTTGATTTCAACAAAAATTGAATATATGGGGTTCTTTGATATGCTGAATCTAACCATGTATTTAGATTTTTGATTTTTGGGCCCTGTTATCATTTTTGTCCACATTGAGATCAAAAGGGTCCAAAATTAAACTTTGTTTGATTTCATCAAAAATTGAATTCTTGGGGTTCTTTGATATGCTGAATCTAACCATGTATTTAGATTTTGGATATTGGACCATAATAGGTGAATGTCCAATTTAAAATTTTTAAGTTCTTAGACCACATTCATTCTGTGTCAGAAACCTATGCTGTGTCAAATATTTAATCACAATCCAAATTCAGAGCTGTATCAAGCTTGAATGTTGTGTCCATACTTGCCCCAACTGTTCAGGGTTCGACCTCTGCGGTCGTATCAAGCTGCGCCCTGCGGAGCATTTTATTTTTACTGTTTCTACAATATCTTCTTAATCATAGGAACTAGTATGCTAAAATAACTTTATTTATATCTGAATACATATAGATATATTTTAGTACTGTCAATTTGTGACCAACAAAGGGGAGAATTTAATATGGTTACATTAAAAAAGTTCATTATATTTTCACAGAACTTTCAACAGCGTTATTTCCCAGGATACAATTTAGCACAGAGACTAGGAATTAATTCACACTTCCTGTCTAGAATTACTGGTTCCATATACATAAAGAAAGGATCACGAGAGGAATCTAAAGATACAAGAGGGGACAGTGTAAATATTGGACTGAACTTAAAGTTTACAAAGAGGAATGAAGAGGTCCCTGGATACACAAGACTGGCACCTAATGGCTGGACTTATTCAGAAAAAGCCATGGAAACAATTGGAGCATATCTCAGAAAGTATGAATTGGATTATCATTTTATTGCTTTAAATTTCAAGGGCACCTGTTTACAAGCTTTTATTTTTTTTTTGGGGGGGGGGGGGGGAGTCTTTGATTCTAATCTTCCTTTAATTTCAAATAATGTGAAAGGAGATATTTTTGCAAAGAAAAATATTTTCCACTTATAATTTTGTTTTTTATAATTCTAAAACAATCTTGGTTTAAATACTAAGATTTTGATATTTTGACTTTCATAGTAAATTTGATTTAACTGGACAACAACACATGATTGCTATCAAATGAATTAAATGTTTCAATAAACTGTAGTTTGCTTTTTAATTTTGGTAATTTATGACCTTATACAGGTCATTATAGTTTGCCTTGTAGCACATTTCATTGAAACTTGGATTCGTCAGGGTTGTTTTCTTAAAAGAAAGACCTATAGTTCTGAAAGGAAATAACTCAATATAAGTATTTGTAATGGTGTAGTTGTGTATTTTTATACTTAGTTTACAATGATGACTTTATTTTACAGATTTCCAGACCTTTGGGATACCATTATAGGTCAACAGGATAACAAAACAGACAATTTTTATGAAGCAGATATTTTCAGTAAAAATGGGTATGTTACAAGTGAGGTATAAGAAGTGATATGTTGACACACATGTAGCAAAGGTGTCTACCTTTTGAAACCTTTAAATGGGAGAATTCCATTTGTTCAAGCATTTTTATGTGAGATGTTGTACAAAATCCCTACAATATCTGGATAACTGTTGTGGATGAGAAAAGTTACCCTCAATTGTATGTATGTAATTTAATTTGAAAAAACTCATCTTATCAACACGAACTAATCATGTATGGTTTAAATTGTAATTAGAAGAGATTCTATAATTAAAATAAATACTAGAATACGCTGGTGTTTCAGTAATAGAGATGCATACAATGATCAAAACAAGTCAGCAGTTACAATTAAACAAGTAAACAAGTCAGCAGTTACAAGTAAACAAGTCAGCAGTTACAATTAAACAAGTCAGCAGTTACAAGTAAACAAGTCAGCAGTTACAATTGAACAAGTCAGCAGTTACAATTAAACAAGTCAGCAGTTACAATTAAACAAGTAAACAAGTTAGCAGTTACAAGTAAACAAGTCAGCAGTTATAATTAAACAAGTAAACAAGTCAGCAGTTACAAGTACACAAGTAAACAAGTCAGGAGTTACAAGTAAACAATTAAACAAGTCAGCAGTTACACTTAAACAAGTCAGCAGTTACAAAGCAGTTACAATTAAACAAGTCAGCAGTTACAATTAAACAAGTCAGCAGTTACAATTAAACAAGTAAACTAGTCAGCAGTTTTAATTAAACAAGTCAGCAGTTACAGTTACCAGTTTTTATTGGTGGAGGAAGGTGGGATAACATGGTAAAAGTATCGAACTTCAACAGGGAAACTGGCAATCCTAGTCAGTTAATATGAACTCTTCAACTAATGTTTACCTATTTATTTTATTGCAGTGTTACACTGAAGGATGTGACAACTTATCTGAAGACTTTACCCTGTAGCAGTATAAAAACTATGAAAACAGGAGCAGATATTCTAGATGAGGGTATCATTCAGGCTATAGAAAAGGAAGTTAATAGAGTCATGGTAAGAAAAACATGTTAAAGTGGATCTGATTGATAAATTTAGATTCTTACATTGGTACCAGTGAATTATCAGATTTATCCAATTCTAAAGTCTGATAATCAACAAGTAACTATTAAGAATTTGTTTCTCTAATGATTATAAAACTAAGTTTTGATCTCTGATAAACGAAAATCCCCTTTGAGTGCCTTCCTCATTCCACAAAGTTATCAATTTCTCTAACACCGGTTAGCACATTTCGATTCATCCTGTGAGTGTATAAAGGTTATGACCTTTAAACTCAGCCAATCATCTTCAGAGATCATCGAAAACCAAACGTTCATTAAATTTTTTTATACAATGTGTCCAGAAAGGGCTAAATTGGCGAAGAATTAGAGAAACTGTCATACAGAAATTTAATTTTACAGGAAACAATAAAAAAAGTTTACTTGTGTTAATTACAGAAGTCGTCAATGAAGAATACCTGACATACGGACATACGGATGACATATTACACTGAAGGAAGTGACAACTTATCTGAAGACTTTACCCTGTAGCAATATAAAAAAAAATACAGAAATTTAATGAAATATGTTGAGATTTTTTAAATATCCAGTAAAGATAGTTAATTCTCTTTAAATATTAATAAAAATCATTTTAACCACCAGATAAATTTTGTTCTGCCAAAGTTCCATTGTAGTACAAATTGGTTTTACTTCCTCATATTTTAGAATTGGTATTTTCTTGCCATTATGTAACAGCAATTAGAAGAAAAAGCACTGAATATACTATGTTACACTATATATTTCACATAAAACCACTTTTTTTTCAAACATTATTATAGGTCCATTTTTTATGAGATTTTAACCAACTTTGTACCAATTGAAAGAGAATTGTTTTATAATGATTTAAACACAAGTTTAATTTTTGTCAGGCAATTTGTTACTGTAAACCAACTAATTTTCGCGAGCGGTTTATTTTCATGAGTTTGGCAAGTAGAAAAATAACGCCGTCGTGTAGTAAAACTTGGATCTTTCCTTATTAAACTTCATCAAGTCAATTAGAAAATCGCGAAATTTAATCGCCATGAAGTAGTCTAGAAAGGGCCAAACGCGAAATAAAGTATCCACGAAAAAGTTGGTTTACAGAATATAATTAAACTAAAATAAAATCCTTAATTATTATCAGTGTATCTATAGCAGGATATGACAACTGAAGACAAAACTATTACCAAATAAAGAAGGAAATTCAGTCATTCTGCATCTTTTAACACCTGCTTTTTAAAAATGCAAACACAAATGTGTTCAACATAATTTTCTGAAAAGATGTAGTTTTTTTATGAAATATATAGGTAAAAAATTAAAGGTAAGGAATACTTACATCCATACACTGTATATTTAGATCACTCAAACATGTTCTTGTCCAGAATATGATGGAATGATTTCATGCTGTATTGTAAAATCCATTCACATCATGATTTACAATCAGTAATACAAGCTTAACCTAATTATGTAAGGCAGGTGCTTTTTGGACCCCCCTCCCAACCTTACTATGACAGAAAAAATATATGCTTAAAGCCACTTGATTATTATTGTTTTTCAGGAGGAGAATAGAAAGAAACAAAAGAGAGTGAAAATGCAAGTGAAACCACATCTTCTATTTAGAGTAAGTTTTACTTTGTGTCTTTATTAGCCATTGGGAACTGGGTTTGTACATATGTAAAAATAAGATGTGGTATGATAGCCAATGAGCCAACTATAAATTAGAGTCCAAATGATGTCTATTTATTTCATCCGATCATTTGGATTTTAATCTTACAATATCTATCGTTGAAGATTATATGAATGGTGTCTGCCTGTTTTAAAACTACTATTTTGCAGCAGCATATTCATGAAAATTTTTACTAATGAGTTCTGCTTCAGTTTGGATACAGGTATTTTAAGTTTAAGGTCTATTTATGGTAATCAACATACATGTAAAATGGTTAAACATTTAACTTCCTAATTTAATATTGATGAAACTGATTCATTCACTAAATGCATGATAAAAACTATTGTTATAAAAATCATATATTGTTTGTATAATAACAGTGAGTAAAAGGAAACATGACATACAAGTCAGTGATACAGCAACCCAGTAACTCTTTTCACAAAATAAATCTTATGATTAAAATTAATGGTAAGCTATACTGAAATGGGCATGACTTACAATTGTTTTTCATCGTGAGGTTTTTTGTTTTATATATCAATATAAAAACAACGGCTGTTCCATTAATTATTACAATGTACCCAGGGAAGTCACTTCAAAAACTGAGTATTACCATTTATATAGGCAATTTCAGAATTCTTCTTACATACTTTCAGTGCACTAAACACTCACTATATATATGAGATTTAGAAGTGTCTTCCCTGGGTCCTATGAACGTTTTATGAAACAGCCCTAAGATGTATTATGATTGCCAATGATACAACTCTACTTCAACACTGCATTACACAAATTAATTAATTCCAAAAGTTTGATACAGTATGCACTTTCATTCCATTCCAATGCTCCTATCCATTTTTCAGCCAATTCCAAATGAGAGTAGTATAGTACCAGATCAGACAGTAACATTTATGTTATTTGACCGTGTGGTCAGTGTCAGACAAGGATATACTGTACCCTTTGGTTTACGTGGGATAATAGTTGGCATCCACAAGGCAGAGAAGGAATCAGACACTATGTTTGAAGTTGTATTTGATGAAGCTTTCATAGGAGGAATTAATATAAGGTACTATATATTCCTTTCATACATGTCAACAATTCTTCTTCAAAATTTGTTACTTGTGTAAATAGTGCTATGCTAAAGAATAAATAAAGTTTGTAAGGAAAGATCTTGATAGGATAGAACTTCAGGTAGTATATTTTTTATATGTATGAATAAATGACCCCTATTCAAAAGTGTCTGGACACACTTGCTCAGAATATTTCATACAAAGAGTATCAGAAATTACCAAAAATATTGGACTGTAAAACAGGTGTTCACATTTAAATTAATAGGTTTTTAACGGGTTTGCTATCTTATTGTTCAAGAATAACAGATAATTTTGGTTTTTTTTCAGATGTACTGGAAATAAAGGATATAGGGTACCCAAAACTGCTGTAGTAAACATATCTCATGGTGATCGAAAATACCATGGTAACACTAACAGACAGAAAGCAACAGAAAACTTCAATAAAAACACATGGAAGAATGACAATAGTAATAATTACAAAAGTGGTAACTATGGTGATTATAATTCTGGGAATTCTAGGAACAATAGTAGGGGAGGCTACTCTGGTGGAAATGAAGGATATAACAATAGAAATCAGGGTAGACAGCTCAATAATGGTCATGTGAATGACAACACATATCCTAGGTATGGCTGGCAGGGTCAACAACCAAAATCATCAATAGATAGTGCCAATGTGACAATAAATGAATCTAATAGACCAAAAATGGATATCAGACAAGAAAGTTTTGATGAAAGTCAGAAAGATGCTCCTTTACAGTTTGTAACACCGAAAATTCCTTCACCAGGAAGACCACAGAAGACACAAGGTCAACAACAAGATTCCTCAAGGACAATGGCAGCTAAGGTAAAAAGAAAATAATTACATGCTGTTAAAAAAGTATGTTGCAATATGCAGTCAGGTAGAACCAGATTTATGGATGAAAACATTTAAAAATTTAAACTTGATCTGTGAATGAGAATGTAGAGTTTTCTTGTAGCTACCAGAAATAGATAAAAGTTAGATATCACACTTACTATTGTATAATTAAAAATTAGGATAAGTTTACAAAAGGTTCAACATTTCATACTTTTCAGCGAAATTTTTGTTTTTAGATAATCTGCAATTCCCTTATTCTATATCATTGTGCTCAGTTTTAAGAAAATTAATTATCATGGGTTAGTACAGAAAACTGTTGCAATGAATATTATCTTGAAAACAATAATTGATACAGTTGATATACAGAAATTGTAGAGAGCAAAAATGATCAGCAGTACAAGATCTACAAAATTGCTGATATGACGTTTATAATAAACCATTAATTGACCATATTAGAGTTATTGCCCTTTATTTATGATTTTCTTTAACTTTTGATATTTTTGGATATAATCCTGAAAGCAGTACCGGTAATGGGTAAAGAGAAACTGATAATAGTGACATTGACAATTGAGAAACCAGCAAAATGAGATCTCATTTCAAAGGTCTTTGATATTGTAATGACTGCTGAGTTGAGGGGATGGGGCTTGGAAGATTATTTCATCCTGATTTAAATGTAAATAACTTATGTGATCCTGAAACTGAAAAAAACATAACAATTTTTTTTTGCTGGGCTCATACCACACCCTCTGATTTGATTAATTGTTAATTATATAAAAAAAAAACACCCTTAACAATTTATATTTTGAACTGCCATGAATAGACCTTTTAAGCGCACCATATATTTTGTCCTGGATGGGGGTTTGAAGGGTGTCTTCTGACCCATCCCCTCATACCATCAATTGTTGAATATATTGAAAAAAAAAAAAATATTTTTACCCATTAACCATATATATATATATATATATATATATACAAGTCTAAATTGAAAACAATGTTCAAACCTATGATTGCGTTGGATAAAAACCGCAATTTTTATACGTGTGCATGCAAAACAAATTTCTTTGTAGAGGGGTCTAAATACAGCACAAACAACATTTTCCAAAAGACCAAAAAAGTGAAAAAGTATATTTTAACAAAACACATTTGACTAGCAGGTCGAACAACAGATGTTCTTAAACCCTGCTGACTGCCATTGCGATTGCCAAATAAACGGATCACAGATGTAACACAATGGATCTTAATTATATTAATTTAATACCAAACAGAAAACAATAAACTTGCAGAAAAGATGGTATACCGCAAACATGAGGGGCAAAAATTTGTACACCATATCCGGATTTCGACAATTAATGTCTCTTCAGTGATGTTAGAAATCGAAAAGGTATTTGGAAGGCCATATAATTTACCGCAATTTGGGATTGACTCTTGAATTTTGAAGAGTCGAAATAGTATGAACGGATCATATAAACCCGAAGGCAAATATAATACAAGCCCAAACGAAAAAATATAAACAAGTCTAAATTGAAAACAAATGTTCAAACCTATGATTGCGTTGGATAAAAACCGCAATTTTTATACGTGTGCATTCAAAACAAATTTCTTCGTAGAGGGGTCTAAATACAGCACAAACAACATTTTCCAAAAGACCAAAAAAGTGAAAAAGTATATTTTAACAAAACACATTTGACTAGCAGGTCGAACAACGGATGTTCTTAAACCCTGCTGACTGCCATTGCGATTGCCAAATAAACGGATCACAGATGTAACACAATGGATCTTAATTATATTAATTTAATACCAAACAGAAAACAATAAACTTGCAGAAAAGATGGTATACCGCAAACATGAGGTGCAAAAATTTGTACACCATATCTGGATTTTGACAATTAATGTCTCTTCAGTGATGTTAGAAATCAAAACGGTATTTGGAAGGCCATATAATTTACCACTATATATATATATATATATTGCGTTTTGTTAAAATATACTTTTTCACTTTTTTGGTCTTTTGGAAAATGTTGTTTGTGCTGTATTTAGACCACTCTGACAAGAAATTTGTTTTGCTTGCACACGTATAAAAATTGCGGTTTTTATCCAAGGCAATCATAGGTTTGAACGTTGTTTTCAATTTAGACTTGTTTATATTTTTTTGTTTGGGATTGTATTATTTTTGCCTTCGAGTTTATATGATACCGTTCATCCTATTTTGACTCTTCAAAATTCAAGAGTCAATCCCAAATCAAGGTAAATTATATGGCCTTCCAAATACTGTTTCGATTCCTAACATCACTGAAGAGACATTTATTGTCGAAATCCGGATATGGTGTACAAATTTTTGCACCTTATGTTTGCGGTATACCATCTTTTCCGCAAGTTTATTGTTTTCTGTTTGGTATATTATTAATAAATTAAGATCCATTTTTACATCTGGTGATCTGTTTATTTGGCAATCGCCATGGCAGTCAGCAGGGTTTAAGAACATCTGTTGTTCGACCTGCTAGTCAAATGCATTTTGTTAAAATATACTTTTTCACTTTTTTGGTCTTATGGAAAATGTTGTTTGTGCTGTATTTAGACCACTCTGACAAGAAATTTGTTTTGCATGCACACGTATAAAAATTGCGGTTTTTATCCAACGCAATCATAGGTTTGAACGTTGTTTTCAATTTAGACTTGTTTATATATATATATATATATATATATAGATTCCTCCTCTTAATCAAGTGTGATACGATATTTCTCCACTAGAAGTTCAAATTTAAAACGTGTGGCTTACCAAGCATAAAATTTAACTGTTGAGAGTGGAGAGAAATCATATGCACGAGATTCTGTGGTGAAATCTATTTCTCTAATGATTTTAGACGATATGTAGACAAATTCGTCTTTCTTTTCCATTCTTTTTATATGACGTCATCAGGCATGGTCGCCTTTTTTCATGACGTCACAATACAAAATTCTGAGAAAAGCAAGAAAATTAGAGGTCATAATTGAAATTTAACCATTGAAGAACTGAGATCAAACGAACGACACTTTGATTAAAAAAATATAATCAACAGGTTGGGAAAAGTATAAATCTGCTAAGAATTGGAGAAATATTCTTATTAACAATGACAATATCTTTTCATTACTAGAATGTATTTGTTGGGCCTTTTCTTTACTGGATTGAATTCTTGAGATGAAAGGGAGAGATTAGTGATAGTCAGTTCTATAGTCAATTTAGTTTATGTAGAAATGCAGAGTAACACCTTCCATTTTGTATTGTTTATGATTTATTTAGATGTTTCAAGACAGCAATAATTCAGAGTTTGCTGATATGTGGAAAGAATTACAAAAAATTTCACCATCAGATAATACTTTACTGAACCAGGCAGCTATGGCTTTGAATAAACTGCCAGATGACCCAGCATTATCTCCTAAGATAGCGCCAACTTCCTTCAATGTACAGAGTTTGTTTGATGAAGCTAACAAGTCTAACACAGCAGAATTAACATCCAAATTAAAAGACTTAAGTGTGTTCAAAGATAGTAATATGGAGGACGGTGTGCTGGTTTGTTCTTTAAAGAAATCTGATCAAGACAAAGAGGTATATATAAAACGAAAAACTTCAAATGCATAAGCAAAATTCCAATCCATGCACTAAATATAACTCAGAAATGAAAAAGAAAAAGATCTAGTTTTATCAATGACATATATTTGTCATTATAATGTTGTAAAAATGATACAAATTTAGTGTGTTGAAAACATTATTGAACAAACATTGCTTGTAGCTGAAAGGACCAGCTGATTTACTGAAACCTGTATCAACTGTAATATGGAGGCATTTGTTAACTGGTTTTATTAATCAAAACAAACACCCACACTCTCTGGATAATCTAAGGTAATTAAAAACGTAACTAAAAACTTAATATATCATACATGTAACTTAAGTTTTTCACTTCTTATATGAGTTTACATTTGTTTGACTAAAAGATGAAATCTACTTTTAGGATGGTAGTGCTGCTTTGAAGCAAATGTTGAATATTGACTCAGAAGACAGTGAAAAGTTACCTCCGACAAAAGAGGTTCCCTCATATGGGAGACAAGTTTCTGTACAAGAACTGTTTGATGGTAAGAGTTAAAACATAGTTTTCACAATTAATGTTATCATTGTTATCATTAATCTATAAAAAGTCAACACAAAGAAATATTTCCTGTATTTAATGCATTGTTAGACAATTGTTTGTGTGGTTGACCCTATTGTACTGTCGTTTTGATTCCACCATTTTTATACGCCCGTTTTCAGGACGTATTATGGTATACCGTTGTCTGTCCGTCATTAACATGTCGGACGAAAACTCAAAAACGCTTTAACCAATTTGCATGAAACTTTGGTGAATTGTTTATATCTATTGATTTCGATGTTTATAAATTTTAGATTTTACGTTTCCGAGTTGTGGGGTTTTATTCATAAAAAAACGGGGGATTTTCCAGTTTTCGGACAATAACTCAAAAGTGCTTTGAGCAGTTTTCATGAAACTTTGGTGACTGGTTTATATCTATTAAAATAAGCTCCCTTTAGTTTTTAAAAATTTCTGATATGACATTGAGGAGTTATGGAACTTTATTCTTTAAAAAAGTTATGGGCGTATCATGCGCTCATGGCGCAGCTCTTTATTATCAGAGTTATGGGACTTTGACTATCCTGACTAATTTACACCTTCTGAACGCAACTCCTCTGAGACTGTTTGACAGAAAGCTCTTATACTTGGTAGGATTGTTTGCCATCATGTGTAGATGGCCACATTATACCTTCATTTTGATTGGAATATTTTTATACGACCGCAAAAAAATTTTGTGGTCGTATATTGGTATGACGTTGGCGTCGTCGTCGTCGTCTGGCGTCGTCGTCGTCGTCGTCGTCGTCCGAATACATATTGGTTTTCGCACTCTAACTTTAGTTTAAGTGAATGGATCTTTTTGAAATTTGACCATAAGGTTAAATACCACAAAAGGAAGGTTGGGATTGATTTTGGGGGTTATGGTACCAACAGTTAAGGAATTAGGGGCCAAAAATGAGCATTTTCTAGTTTCCAGACAATAACTGTGGAACGGTGTATGGATCTCTCTGAAATTATACTACAAGTTTCCATACCACAAAGGGATGGTTAGGATTTGCTTTGGGGGGTTATGGCTCAAACCGTTTAGGAATTAGGGGCAAAAAAGGGGGAAAAACAAGGTTGTCCTGGTTAATGGACAAATACTTTAGTACAAAACATAATTTAAAGCAGTGTAAGGGAGATAAATCAAATACATCATTGAAATTATCTCCCTTACACTGCTTTTAAATTATGTATAAAGTAATGGTTAATGAACAATAAAGATAATTTAAAACAGTGTAAGGGAGGTAATCCAAATACAACGTTTTGGTTACTTCCCTTACACTGCTTTTAAATTATGTTTAAAGAAATGCATATTTATAAAGGAAGACCAGTAAAAATATCTGCAAATGTTTTCATCTTTTTTTTTTACAAAAAAATCCATATGAAAGATTTGACACTATATTTTTATTAATTCTATTATAAAATAGATTAAGTTAGCACTATGGTAAATTTAAATGGGTAATTATGGTTGCCAACTCCATTGGAAATTTGAATTGAGATTATGACCATATCTTGAGGGAAAGAATTTTTTGGGGGGAAAAAGGGGGGGGGGGATAAAAAGAAATTGTGGGGGGCCAATTTTTTCTCATTTTCAGATTTCAGAAATTAAAAAGAATTATTCTTCAAATATTATTTTTTTTTCAAATTCAAATATTGAAAAATTTCAAGAAGTAATCTTTAATTGCACAGTATGGCGCATTAGATTTGTAAAATCTTTGATCACATTTATTTATTTGTTATGCCGAATCTAACAGTGTATTTAGATTTTTAATTTTGGGTCCAGTTTTCAAATTGGTCTACATTAATGTCCAAAGGGTCCAAAATTAAACTTTGTTTGATTTTAGCAAAAATTGAATATATGAGGTTCTTTGATATGCTGAATCTAAACATGTATTTAGATTTTTGATTTTTGGCCCAGTTTTCAAGTTGGTCCAAATTGGGGTCCAAAATTAAACTTTGTTTGATTTCAACAAAAATTGAATATATGGGGTTCTTTGATATGCTGAATCTAACCATGTATTTAGATTTTTTATTTGTGGACCCCGTTATCTACTTGGTTCATATTGAGGTCAAAAGGGTCCAAAATTAAACTTTGTTTGATTTCATCTAAAATTGAATTATTGGGGTTCTTTGATATTCCAAATCTAACTGTGTATTTAGGTTTTTAATTTTGGGTCCTGTTTTTTAAATTGGTCTACATTGAGGTCCAAAGGGTCCAAAATTAAACTTAGTTTGATTTTGACAAAAATTGAATTCTTGGGGTTCTTTGATTTGCTGAATCTAAACATGTGTTTAGATTTTTGATTATGGGCCCAGTTTTCAAGTTGGTCCAAGATAGGGTCCAGTATTTAAACTTTGTTTGATTTCAACAAAAATTGAATATATGGGGTTCTTTGATATGCTGAATCTAAACATGTATTTAGATTTTTGATTATGGGCCCAGTTTTCAAGTTGGTCCAAATTGGGGTCCAAAATTAAACTTTGTTTGATTTCAACAAAAATTGAATATATGAGGTTCTTTGATATGCTGAATCTAACCATGTATTTAGATTTTTTATTTGTAGGCCCCGCTATCAAATTGGTTCATATTGAGGTCAAAAGGGTCCAAAATTGAACTTTGTTTGATTTCATCGAAAATTGAATTATTGGGGTTCTTTGATATGCCAAATCAAACCGTATTTTTAATTTGGGTCCCGTTTTTTAAATTGGTCTTCATTGAGGTCCAAAGGGTCCAAAATTAAACTTAGTTTGATTTTAACAAAAATTGAATTCTTGGGGTTCTTTGATATGCTGAATCTAAACATGTGTTTAGATTTTTGATTATGGGCCCAGTTTTCAAGTTTGTCCAAGTTGGGGTCCAAAATTAAACTTTGTTTGATTTTAACAAAAATTGAATATATGGGGTTCTTTGATATGCTGAATCTAACCATGTATTTTGATTTTGGACATTGGACCATAATAGGTAAATTAAAAAAATTCAAGTTCTTAGACCACATTCTTTCTGTGTCAGAAACCTATGCTGTGTCAAATATTTAATAACAATCCAAATTCAGAGCTGTATCAAGCTTGAATGTTGTGTCCATACTTGCCCCAACTGTTCAGGGTTCGACCTCTGCGTCGTATCAAGCTGCGCCCCAGCGAAGCATTTTATTACATTTGTTATGAGACTTATTTTTTCTATTCTACTCGAATAACACCTTGTGAAAGCAACTCCTCTGAGACTGGTTGACAGAAAGAATAACCTGTTATGTTCCTTCCTTTTTAAATTGTTAGGCACCTTCAGCAAGTTTTTCTAGGTATACTAAAAGAAAGAAGAAATTTGGTCTGAAGCATTACATTTTGATATTTATCAATAAATCTGTAAACACTTTGAATTTAATTAAATTTATATTAATATCAATTAGGCAAATGATTAAAATTATTCAAGAATTTGAAAATAAGTTAAGGCTGCCCCCTCACTTTTTGAAAAAAACAACATATGATGGCATATGTAAACAACATCGAGGGATCAACATTTTCTTTCATTTTTGTCTTGCCATGAAGAAGTCTCAAAGGCTAGACTTATATGTGCTATTTCCAGAGGCGGCCTTGTTAGCTGCAGTGTCAACAATTTGTTAGTGATTATATCAGTTTAAGGGCAACCACTGATAGTATAACAATTATATTTGGTATGCATTTGAAGAAGTATTGGCACATTTCATTTCCATGGCCCTGCCCTCTCAGTCATGGTTTATTATCTTTGGAATATGATCATAGTTTTCATGTTAAAGTTTGTGATTAGGTCAGTTTGAGAGGAACCACTAATGGTAAGTCAACGATATTTGGTATGTAGTTTATAAGTATTTAATAGCACATCTCATTTCCATGGAGATTATATCGCCCCATCCTTCTGTCATGTTTCATTGGATTTGTATGTTTTCCATAGTTGACATATTAAAGTCTGTGATTAGGTCAGTTTAAGGTGATCCACTTTTGATAAGTCAATGATATTTGGTATGCAGTTGTATTAGCATTGGCATTTCTCATTTCCATGGAGATTATTTGGCCCTGAACCTTCAAGAGAGGCTAATAATATCAAAGGGACATTCAAACTCATAAGTGGAAAATAAACTGACAACACCATGGCAAAAAAGAAAAAGTGATGGTTCTTTGACTTTTGATGTTTTGCATAGTTAACATGTTAAAGTATTGCCATTTTAATATCAACATTTGCATTTTACTGTCAAAATTACATACAAACAAGCCATATTTCTGTGACAACAGTTTATTTGCTTGTAATACTGCATAATCCCCACCCGGCCTGGCAATTTAAATTTTAGAGTAAAAACCTGGCGATTAAAAAATGCTTTAATTCTGTATATTATCATGATTATAGTCATTAGATATATGTAATCATTTAATACTTGTTCCTTTATATACTCTAGGTGTAAAACAGAAGAGTTCAAGTGAAAATGTACAATCACCTAGTTCTAACCAGTTTCATCAAGCTCAGGACCAGCAATATCCAGCCAAGAGCAGTCATAACCAAAATCAACCAAATCAATACAATAATGTAGGACGGCAGTCTGGTAATCAAGGTCGACCAAAATCTGGTGGAATGCATCAAAACAACCCCAATATAAATGTATCTAGGTATGAATGAAACATTCTCTAGGTATACAGAATTTTCACATAAATTCTTCACATTTTTAGCTCATTTATAAAAGGACCATGTATTAGACTGATTATTACAGTTATATATAGAGAACCGGAAATAGATAACAATTATAATAACATTATAGCAAACACTGCTTGCAAAAAAGAGAGTCAAATTTTAAAGACAAAATACAAATACTTCAATTTCTAAACATAATAATATATGACTTTATTTTTAATTCAAAACTTTTTTAGATTTAGAGCTCAACATATTTGACTGGCACTTGTCTATTGTTAACGGAGAAGAAACCCAAATTAAAATGTTATTATTTACAGAATCTATTATTTAATAAAAAAATAGTAATAATACATCTCTCTCTGTAAAAAGAATGTTACAGGGCCATTAATTTGGTATATTTAAATAAATCTTTTTAAATTTACGGCCACAAAGGCAGCTGCCATATTTCACAAACATGTGACTTCACGACTACCATTTCATTTCCATTTGACATCAGTATAAACACAACTCACATATTCATCATTGGAACAAACAAAAAGTTCGTTAAGTTTTCATTGAAAGAGAACCAGATAAATACAGGTTAAGTTCTGACATCAAACACAAATATAAGACGCAGGAAACTAAGTCGCCATTCCAGGGTCAAGTCAGTATCACAGACATCATATCAGTCAGCTGGTCGAGTCCAAAATTTGAAAAGAAGGTTATGATGGTGGAAACTGTTGGTAAATGGGCACAACCAAGAAATACTTGTAATTGTATACCATCACAACAGAAAACATTTGAAGTAATAAATCAATAGTGACTCTAAATCGAGGTCAGTTGTAGTAAAACTCAGAACTTGAAAGTGATTTATTAGAATATCTATGTTTTTTATTTGTATTTTCCTTTATTTTAGGAACCCTGTAATGCAGCTTTTAGGTTTCTGTAAATCATTCAAATTATCAGATCCCAAGTATGAGTTCAACAGACAGGTGAGATGTTTATCTTAAATTTATGATAAAAAATGTAGCAGCATTAGTGAAAACATGTGAACAGTCATATTATATCATCTTTATTTTGGAGTAAGTATAAAGATGAAAAATTCCTCAAAATAAGTAGATGTGTGATGTTTCCCAATGATTCAACAATTGACCAAAAACCAAAGGACATGGAAGCAAACAACTACAGTGAACCGTAGAGCCTTCAACAATAAGCAAAACCCAAACTGTAAAGTAAGCTAAAAAAGTGCCTGTAATAACAAAAGGTGAAACAAATTTCATATATCACCTATATATTATTTACTTTGTAATACCTAGATTTAAATGTACAGACAATACTAACTACTGATAGAAGATTAAATGCTTCTCTTTTGGATGTGGAAATTAACTTAAAATAAATTAACCATTGTTACAGATACTTAGGATTATAGAATGAATAGAATAACAAAAAGAAAGCCAAATCAATCTTCATCTAAGGTAATAGTTATAGGTGTTTGATGATTTGACTTCTCCTTTACACCAAAGTTCCCATAGGCTAATTTCACAAATTTTCTTCTCTTTAAAAATTTTGCAAAGAAAAAAGCCAATATACTGAAAAAATAGCATTACCTAACTGTTTCTCATTAAAGCAGACAAAAAATACATTGACATTGTCTGTAATTTTATTTTTAACAGATACAGAGTGGTGGGTATACTTGTGTGATCAATTTAAGTAATGGTGCCAGATTCCAAGGAGCTACCACCCCAACCCAGGAGGCTGCTGCAGAGAGTGCAGCAAGTATAGCACTGCATCAATTAGTAAGTATCAACTCTGACCTTCAGATACACAGTGGTGGGTAAACTCGTGTGATGATAATAAGTGAACAATATTAGTGATGTGTACTGGGTAGTTTTCCCTATCTTGTCCACTCCATTACTAAGTATAATTGATATGTTTATTTCTGTTCTTTATTTTGTTATGTCTTACTAACTTGTTTGAAGATCATATGGTTACTTTAAATGCTTTCCTTTTATTGAAGAGTTCAAATCTGTTTCTGTTCATACATGTATATTCAAGTTTATTCAAAGAAGATTCACACAAATTGCAAGAACAAATGTTAACACAAAGTCCATTTAAAAAAACAACAATAAAGAAAATGATTTTGTTTACTGTGAATGCATTTATTTTAGTGAGTATCAATTTTTGTAGATTGAGGAAATTTATTTTTGTGGATATTTGATTTCATGGTTTTGGCAAAGACTTCATAGAAGCCTATAGAAATTGTGTACTTTGTTGAACATTTGAATTCATAGTTCACCTTTACCCACAAAATCCTCGAAAATTGGTATCCCACGAATAATAACCAGTCCACAGTATGTGATCTTGATAGAAAACAATTTCAGCAGAAAATATTTTGATTCATATTCATTTTTCTTTATCAAGGGAGCAACTATCCAACCGTCCACTCAATGCCACCCACTAATGATGATGCATCAGAGAATACCACCTCCTGGGATGATGCCACATAGGATGCCACCATCTCCTAGATCTCATCAGCCACAACAACCGTTCCCATCAGCATTCAGACCTGTCCAGCCTGCTGGTTTGTAAACATTTTTCATGTAGATCTGTAAAGTAATGGGATGACCAATTCCACCTTACAAAAACAACCTGCTTATCTCCCCTTGGATTGATAAGTTTTGCCTACAGCTATGATGATAATATATCAATGCCTGACTTGGTATTGACTAAGGTCATTGACCAAGAAATGATCAAATTAATCTTCTCTCTGAGCTGTAGGCATTGCAGGCAACAATAATTTGTGGCTTGTCTGATGTACTGTCATACTTTAACATCCTTGTCTTTTTAGTTGGAATTTTATAAACATTTTTTTATATAAAGAATAGAATATAGAGTTGAATCGCAAATGATGTTATTTATTTTTACTCAGGGGTTAAAAATCCACTAGCCCGACGCCCGGGACTAGACTTTTACACTTCGGGCAATTAAAACTTGTAACCGAATATGTCCGATGGACTAGTAACAAAAAATTCTTGGCATTTCCAAAATGGTAAGTGGAAAATCCCCTCATCACTATTCTTTCTTAGCCAATCAGATTCAATTACGTCATCCGGGATTCCAAGAATTTGAACCGATTTTGTACATGTTTTAAAAATAGAACAACTAACTCTGGGTGGATCGGTATCATGTATTGATCGCAATTCACATACTTTCAATTTCAATTTCTCAGTATGGGGGGTATTGTACATTGCTTATGCCGAGATTTTCAATTAATGGTACTTGGGTGTATGATGTAATGATCGATATTGACCTGTCTTGTCGGACAACTATTAATTTGAGCTTGAAACCATGCACAAATTATTTCTAAACATTTAAGTACATCCACCACAGGAACTTTGTCAGTTTCAAAACGAAAAACGGTAGATGAAGGGGGTAATTAGGCTGAAAATTTATCCCAAAAAATGCCAAATACGACCAGGAAAAGTGGAAAAAAACATTTATAGTGTCATGGACAGAAAGATTCCCCATGGGCAAGGTCGACTGTTACTGATGACAAACAAGAGATGATGTTTTGTGAATATTGCCGTTATTTTCCTGATCACGCTAATAAAGTCTGCTTTGTATGTGGGAACAACAAATATACGAATTGAACCACTGGTTTCACATGACAAGACCAATGAACATGTTTTCTGTGCCCGAAAATATTTAACAACCCATAGTACAAGGGATATCCAAAAAGATGTCTAGAGATCCTTGTTATAATTAATAAAACAAAAATTTATTTGATTTATTTTATCAAATACCGTGTATAATGCTGCATTCAAAACAAGGGACACCCACTCTGAATTTGTAAGGTATACTCGGGCTAGCAGGTCAGTTTTGATGGGCTAGCAGCTCTTTCAACAGGGCTAGTAAAATCCTGCTACCAATAAGTCCTGGGCTAGTGAGCTGTAACAAAATTTTTTAACCCCTGTTACTGATTCAGAGTTTGTTGTTATACTCCTTCAGAAGTATTATTGTGCCTGTTACCACAGCTATGATGATAATATACCAATTCCTGACTTGGTATTGACTAAGGTCATTGACCAAGAAATGATACAATTAATCTTCTCTCTGAGCTGTAGGCATTGAAGGCAACAATTATGTGTGGCTTGTCCATCTATCACCTTACAGTTTTACATTGAGGTCTGCATCTAAACAGCTATAAGAAATAGGTGAAAAATAGTTCGTCATTGTAAAAATCTTACATATTGATGAAATTGGGACACATGGACCTACATTTTATTGAGATATTATAATAATTAACCATATGTAGGTAATTATATATGTTTTTTATACCATAGAACTTTGTCATGATAAGATAATTTATTATGTAGGTGTGATGAACATCAGGGGTCAGGGGCAACAACAGAATTACCATGGTGGTCGGGGAGGAAACCAGGGGATTTACAGTTGGCCGCAGCAACAGGAATATAGTAGACCAAGACAACATAGTGATTCACTACCGTCAACAGTCATATGTCAGCCGAGTGAAGAACAGTCACCGATCAAACAATCGTCTCAAGCTAACCCATTTATACCCCTACAGGTAGAACTCTTACATTCACCGGTCAAACAATCGTCTCAAGCTAACCCATTTATACCCCTACAGATAGAACTCTTACATTCACCGGTCAAACAATCGTCTCAAGCTAACCCATTTATACCCCTACAGGTAGAACTCTTACATTCACCGGTCAAACAATCGTCTCAAGCTAACCCATTTATACCCCTACAGATAGAACTCTTACATTCACCGGTCAAACAATCGTCTCAAGCTAACCCATTTATACCCCTACAGGTAGAACTCTTACATTCACCGGTCAAACAATCGTCTCAAGCTAACCCATTTATACCCCTACAGATAGAACTCTTACATTCACCGGTCAAACAATCGTCTCAAGCTAACCCATTTATACCCCTACAGATAGAACTCTTACATTCACAGATCAAACAATCGTCTCAAGCTAACCCATTTATATCCCTACAGGTAGAACTCTTACATTCAAACATGACATAAAGAATTGTATATTGTTTTATATTATTTAATTATTTTCTCTCATGCATACTGTTGGTTCGTTCAGGACTATGGAAAATCATGGACACTTGAAACAGTGGCTTTAAAAATTACTACATACAATTCTATAGGAAATTTGTATTTCGATGAACACTTGAAAACATGGTTCAATTATACCCTCTGAAAACCGTGAAAATTAGAACACCATGAATAATAATGAATCCACAGTTTGATATTTCTACTAATGTCTGTATAATGCCTCCATATTTAACTAACAGAAAAATATGGTTCTTGATTTGGTTATATACAATGTTTTATCTTATCTGTTTCAATGACCAATGTATTCTCCATCATGGAAAAGCAACAGCAAGTTATATGTTTAATTGTTTTCAAATTGTAATTTGATTTGTTGATTTAAGAAACATGAACTGTTAATAAAATTTGTTTGTAAAATGTCTTTTTAGGTAACAAAACAACAGAAGACTCCACAGAAAAAGAAACATAAAGAAGACAATGTAAATAACAATATGTCAACTCCCCCCAAATCTGTCCCGGAAACCAGTCCGCCACAGATTTCAAAAGGAGAAAAGCAATCACATATACAAGAAAGCAGTGAACAGAAAACTGTACATGAAAGTGGAAGTAGAACAAAGAAGACTCCACCAAAACAACAGACTCCAAATAAACGGAAATCTAGATTAGCAGCTAATTTTAGTGGAATGAAGTAGAAAGACATTAAATTATCGCCACATGAATGGAATGTTTTTAAATCTTTTACAACCTTTTCAACTATTTACCAAATGACATTTTGCTAGGGAACCAAGTTCTCTCTGTATATGTGTAACAAACATGCTCTTTGGTATGATTTTTTTTGGCAGAAGAAATGTTTCATATCAGTTTTATTGAAGACAGTTTTGTGTACATTCTAAATTCAAAGTTCTCCTTCAAGTCTTTCTATATATATATTTGTATAAAATTTACACAAGTTTTATTTTTGTGTATGATATGTAAGTAATTTTATCTACAGTAAACAGCCATGTACTATCCACATTGTATATGTACAACAGAATTATAATGTTATTGGATACAAATTAAATCAAGTATTAAGTTCTGAGTAACCTTCAAAAGGTCAAATAAAACACATTCTCTAATGTTGTTAATATATGAAAACATGAATAAAAGCATATGGTGAAAATTTAACGTAAAAATTGCAAAAAACTGAAATTGTCTAGCTTGTCTTAATTATCTAACGTCACAGTACCCAAATTGCACCCATTTAGCAAAAATAGCAGTGGAAATTTACAAGTTTTTTAGAGACTAAACAATTTGTATTTTTATGATTTGACATTATGCACATCTCTCCACATAGCTGAATATATTTAGATATACTCAAAACGTTCACAATATATATCAACAGATGAAGTATTCACTGGAAATAGTATAATGTACTGGGACATCGCCATGCATAGTCCAAAAATAAAAATCAAATTTTAAAAATGATCATTTAAAATATACAGGCATCCATTCCTTAAAAAAATAAAAAGTAAGCATGGAGTATTGTCAAATTGTTCTAAATATTTGGAAAAATAAATGAAAACATCGGTTATTCGATATTATAAAAGGATGTGAATTGAAGCATGGATGCAATTTGGGTACTCCTCATTACAGAATCATTGATCGTTTGGAGGTCGTTTTCAGAGCCATTTTTCTTTGATTCAATATGGATTCAAAATTGAATTGGTGGAGCTATATAGTGAATAAGGATACATCTAAAAAATAAACACAGAAAGGAAACTTTTTATCTGGATCATAAATAAACTTTGGTGAAATAAACTGTCAAAATAGATGCAGTTTTGGTACCCTCACATTAATTTTATTTTACTTTTTGTAAAAATGTAATTTATATATTGAATATGTTTTTTTTCTTGGAAAATCTTAACACATATTAGTTTTTGTAGTGTTAACAAAGGTTTAGATGTTGAAATAAACAATGTATTTTGAAAAGAAACGATTGAAATCTTACAATAAAACATATTAATAGTTATATTTTTCAAGAAGTGCTAATTTTTTAATTGCATGTACTAACAATGTGTAAATACAGGAAACTTCAAATCATGTACAACCATTGCAATTAGAGATAGTATACAGTACTTGACAGAATGGTAATATTTGTGTATACTAAATAGTCAACATGTCCCTGTTGTAAACATTTATGGACAAGATTTATCCACTGCTGAAGTTAAAATAAATCAACATGATTAAACTACTGATTCCTTCATTAAATAAAGTAAACAAATAGACACAGTCTGCTATATCTAATCTTTTATTTTATAACTTAACAATATTTAATGAAAACAATGAAGAAATTGTTCAAATATTATGAAGCACTGTCTTTCTCTCCATATAGTTGATGGCGTCTCGTTTCAAATGTCTAATTTCAGATGTTATGATTTAATTTTGCATTTAATGATAAATCAGGAATTCTTGTTGAAATTGAAGAAATTCTTATATAAAAGAAATTAATTAAATGTTACCCTACATAATCTCCAAGGATCTTTTAGTTTCTTGTATATTTTTTAAAAGCCAAGTGATTTTGATAAATAGAAATTCAGAATACTGTAAATTGAAAGAGAATGTGACCTTCTAATTTAAACTTTATAATATTTTATTTTTACATTTTGGTGAGTTACACCTGTATGATTTGATTTTAGCACATTTCATTCTCTTTTTTTCATGTTTAGGGTTGAAACCAAAATTCCTCAGGTGGACATGGTCAATTTAATAAAGACATCTGAATCATCTGTTTCGTATTAGCAACATTTATGTCAACACCCACAAATTGATAACTAACACTGATTTGACCATTTGGTTACCTTGTGCATGATTTCTTCTGTTTAATATTGCAGTGACCCACTTACATAATTATATTTAGGCATATAAATCTGAGTTAAAATTTCTTTTAAAGTTATTCCTAGACTGTCGTTTTTTTACCTACTTCAGGTTTTTCAATACAATAAATAGAAGTTATATGTTTTACTGCTACATGACAGTTTTGTTAAATGATTGTTAAAAGTGTAATTGCATAACTCTCTTGTATCGACAAAAACATCACATGTTAAACTTTGATACATTAATATTTATGTAAATAATACTACAATGTAGTTTGTATTTACATCAATGGGGCTAAGATGTCACATGTGAACATTTTAGCCAATGACATTTCAGTAACAACACTGATCGATTTTAAAAGTCAGTTTTAATGATTTTATTTTGTAAATTGTAACTTACATTATTGCTTTCAAGCAATACACTTTTACATTAAAAACCTGTTTGCAAAGTTACTATTACACTTTTGTCATTACTGAACACAAACTTATACAGGCTATATAGGTTCATTATGTTTGACACTCTGGGATTATTCAAGTCTGTTGTTGCTATGGCAAGCAATCAGTCTGATGAAAAAAATTAATAATGATGAGGTGCTGAAGAATGTTGAGAATCTCTTAATTCATTCATCTCCAGGAACAATATATCTAACGTACATATATAATAAGTTTTGTACCATAGCTTATGGCAGGTAAGTTTTGCATAGGTTTTTAACTCACCGGGGACAAAAATGTGAGACATAATGATGCTTATCCAGTGACAATGGTGTTAATTATTTGTATAAACTTTATATTCAGAAGGTAAAACTGAAGACCTTGATACTTCATATCTTGTATACAGATGCCTTATGTTCTGAAGTTTCTGATTGTTATATGTCTGTTATCTTTGAGATCATTTTTTTGGTTCAGTGACTACTGCTAAAACAATGTGTTTTATCCAATATTTTCCCACTCATTATGAGTAATAGGACAACTATATTTGGTATATACGAATGTAGTATCATAGCAAGGTATATGTGTCCTTTAGACAGGGTTAACCTGAATTTATAAAAATAAGATGTAGTATGATTGCCAATGAGACAACTCTCCACCAGAGACCTAACAAATAGAAGGTAAGCAACGAAGGTCAACATTTGACCTCATTTCATAGTTTCAGTGATAGAAGGTTAGCAACGAAGGTCAACATTTGACCTCATTTCATAGTTTCAGTGATAGAAGGTTAGCAACGAAGGTCAACATTTGACCTCATTTCATAGTTTCAGTGATAGAAGGTTAGCAACGAAGGTCAACATTTGACCTCATTTCATAGTTTCAGTGATAGAAGGTTACCAATGAAGGTCAACATTTGACCTCATTTCATAGTTTCAGTGATCAACCTTAAGTTATTGTGATCTGGTATGTTTCTCGGATACTATAAGCAATAAGTAACCTATATTTGGTATAAGGAATGATTGTAAGATATACTACATGTTTGTCTTTCAGGGTTCATCTTACCTTGACCTCATTTTCCTGGTGCATTGGTCTTTGTTAAGTCCTGATTAGGTTTGTTTCTCAAATTCTGTGAGCAATAGGTCAACTATATTTCATATTAATAAGTGAATAAATGTTGTGGAGTAACTAATGTATAATAAAGGATCCACATAGTATACCAGATGACAGAATTACAATGGAAAACCCCTATATCATAACAATGGTAAGTCACTTGTAGTTTATTTGAAATATCATTTTCTTGACACCATATTAAAAGACAACTCTAGTGAACTCGATTAGTAGTTTAACAATATTAACACTTGGGTTTTTTGTTTGTTGTAAATGATGATTATTTTACTAACACATCACATCAAATATATATATGTATATATATATATATATCAAATTAAAGTTTTGGCAGAGGTTTTAGGATTCCCTGAGCATGAAAATATATGACATTAAAGTTTTGGCTAAAGGTAGGTCAAAGTTTTGGTTTAAGGTAAGTCAAATTAAAGGTTTCATTTAAGGTAGTTTGTAATTAGTCACGAGCATGAAACTTAGTACACATGTTCGTTATGATGTTAACTGTTTAGTGCCAAATTAGGGTTTTCACCAAGACTTCATAGTTCACTGAACATGGAAATGTGATGATGGGATTGAGCATGGTGTCCTATGGATATATATATTCTCGTTTATTCTAGGTATTGTATACATGAGTAGAACGAGTTTGAATAAGGTTACTTAGTAAATAAAACTTTAGTTTGATTCTGTATATTGATAAAAACTACAAAAAAAAGCTATGAAAAGCTTTTCACAAACAACAGTCCGAACCATTCCAGTACTGAACAAGACTTCTAAAATGTGTGCTGCTATTTTCAGTTGAAAACTGGTCTGGAAAATTTTCAAAGGATAGAAGCAATATTTAAAAAAAACCTAGGGTTTCTGTAATAGGCCAATTAAAATTAATTGATAGATTTTCATCCCCGCCCGCCCCTCTGAAATCGTCCCGCCCCGATTTTTTTTATTTTAACAAATTTACGATTTCCGGATTTTGTTCATTTCCGTTACCGGAAACCACCGATAATTTCGTTTCATTCATAACTTCCTGTAGCAAATTTCGGTTTTCGTATTTCTTCGAGTAATTTAACCAAAATGATTAAGTCGAAATATTCTGCTGCTCTATGATGACAGCATTATCTTCCGAGAAAAGAGATTGCTTACGAGAAGGGCATGAAATATTCGGGTTACGAGTGACAGGCGGTGTCCAAGAACGCAAATCGCGGTCAGTGATTAGAAACCTGTGGATTTTTTTATTTATACAATGAATTTGTGTCAGGAAATTTGGACTGTGAATGATATCCAAAGCACAAGAATCGTGGAACACATTGCTGCAATAAAAAACATGACTGGGATAAAGAAATTGACACAAGCACGAACTTGTGCGATCTAAGACCATATATTGAGTACAAAAAAGTCGGCCAATGTAATGCTATGTCTTAAAACTTTTCCAGATACACAGGGTTATCTGTACTCAGAGTAAAAGGGGTGAAAATGCAGCCCTTGTAGCCAAAGGGTCCACATGAACCTTAAAAGCATAAACCATAGTATTTGCAACATAGTTTGAGTTTTTATTTCACTCTGTACTCACAATACTTGTAATGGGCACTACAAATTACTACTTAGAAAGCAAAATAAATTTGATGTAGGTAGTCTAAAAGAGAACATTTCTCCACCTTTTTGCTATTTACTAAAAAATGGTTTCTAAAGTGGCAATCACATGTAGAACAGTGGTTGCCAATCCGAAATCTTTATTAAGACTTTGAAAATTTATGTAGAATTCCTTATATATACATGATATAAGCTTAATATTACCCTTGCATATGCACAGTCTGATTGAAACCAGCCCCCAATATCTACAAAGGCAAATGGAAAGTGGGGGCGGGTTTTAATCAGACTGGCATATGAAGAACACGTCACAAAAGGGTTTCGGAGGAAATAAAAATTAAAAAATAAAATCCTCCCACCCGCCCCATTTTTTTCAAAAATTTGGATGAAAATCTACTAATTAATTTTAGTTGGCCATAGTTATACACCGAGGGATAGGTGTGTCTGGATAAGAAACCCCGTCGGCCGGAGGCGTATAACTAACTTACACCCCATTCTAAACCCATTATTTGTTAACATTGATTATTAAATGAAAAAAAAAAAAACCCGATAGCATATTTATTGACAATATCAAACCATGATTTATAAGAATTTTTTTTTATTACATGAAACCCCACTAGTAACCTTTCTTAGGGTATCTTTGTTCAAACTTTGACAAGTGAGTATATTTTACAAATGTCAAAGTTGTTTTGCATATTCCCGTTAAATCCATGTGCTAAAATGGATCAGCGGGTCAAGGTTGACCGTTTCGTGTATTCTTATTACAAACAAAAAATACATCATGCTCCTTGTATGCAGTTGTCAATATGGACGGGTATAAGACGAACGACATTTTGTGGCAAGCGTTGGATTTGGTAGAAGAGACTTAAGATAAAGGCTATATTATAACCCAAAGTACTTACCTGTATCAGTGTAATAAAGGTAATCATAACTGTATTTTATATCTTACAGTTTTATAACCACCCCCCTCTTCTCAAAATAAACAAACATTCATATTCGGACATACTAAGGGATAGGTGTGACCCGACTATCAGACACGCTCAACATATAAAGATACAGATTTAATATTTAGGAACTCCCTTTTTGGGGGCAAACAGGGGCTGATCCAGCTTGGAGTTCCCAACCCAAGAGAAAAAAAGGGGGGTCCAACCATTCAAATGCATTGATCTTTTAAATAAAAGTCGGGTCCAAACCGCGGAACCCCAACCCCAGGTAACCGGGGGAGGGGGGATGGGTCCCGGGAGTTAGAATCCCCATTTTTTTTTAAAGACCAATGCTCTAGAATAGAGACATATGACTGGGATAAAAAAGATTACCTTCAAGCAAAGGGGTATTTAAAGGATTATTTTTGTATTCAAAATAGATGCTTAAATTTTTTTTCGCAATTGGAATTTCCTAAAATGTGTTTTTTTAATATCTTGAAACAATTTGTAGTGAACACTATTAGTAGTTTCTTATGTTCATGCTATTTAAAAAAAAATCAATTTCTATTGTTACGAATAACAATGGACTTTGTTTGCGGGATGTAGAAGCAGGGGTTTCCAGAAACCCCGCTCGTCACACCCTGTGGTCAAAATCCTTTGTTATTCGTAACAATAGATCTATTCAATTTACGCTTGTTTCAGAAATAGAAACTATGAAGTATAACAATAGAACTGGGGTGTAAGGTAGGATAATATTGCACCTTAGTGAAAAAGGAGCACAGTTAATTTTAGACAGTGGACGATATTTTGGTCCTTACTTTTGAAAATTCATAACCTCACTGTCTTGGAAAATATTTTAAGATCTATTGTAACAGTATGGCCTCGAGGAACATATCTATACCTCAAATTATCACAGGAGTGTTGTTTTCAATATCATCATCATCAGTAATGGAAGATCTTCTTGAGTGTTAGTCTTTGTTTTCTAGTTTTAAATATGCATGAAACATGTACCACTGGATGTTAAGCCGTAACAATCAATTAGTCAAGAATTTGGTGTTGATGCAGCTAGGCTATTGCGTCTGAGACTGGTTATTCTTATTAAGTAGTAATTGTTTTTGTTACACATGTATATCATTAAGATACTCTGTGTGCACCATAGAAGAATGTTAAAGTATGGACATGTTTTATTTGCTGAGGCTATGATCATGACACAGAAGAAATAACCAATAACTATCATGATTCTTAACTGACTTATTTATTTCATAATGAATGAAAAGGCAGATAAGTTAACATACATTAATTTATCATATTTGACATTTAGAATATAGCACTATACAAATAAATTATCATGCACCAAAATGTTTTAACACAGTCTAATTACAAATATGTCTCTGTACAAAATGGCTGTTGTTACCATGGTCGCCAAACAGAGTTGTCACCAGTTGAACCATCAACTCCTGAATCTGAAGGTGAATGCATGTTTGGTGAAACTGAAGGTGATGCTGAATATGTAGAGGACCAATCATTGCAGCTTAAGGTGTCACATGATGAGGAATACTGTGCATGTGTGTCAATTATTGGTGATAACAACTGGTATGGTTTACTTTCTTTGGTTGGTAAATAACTGCAAGGTGTGCTTGTAGCTAATCGGTCAAAACTATAACTGGAGGCCTGTGGTTCTTGGGTCTGTAGTCTTGTTGTCATATTGGTATAATTTGTTGCTAGGTGATTGGTTACTGAAGATTTGACGTCATTTGTGATATGATTGGCTGTCAGACTATTAGATACATCGTTGATGCAAGTGGTATAACCTCGTATAAAGCTGTTCATTACCAGTTGTGCTCTGTTACGACCTATAAAAAGAACGTTGCCATTCAATTACATGTACAGTAGAAATTGGCTTACAAATACTTATTTACACAATGATGTTGAAATGAATGGCATTTTGAAATATTGGCAAAACCTTCTGAATTGTAAAACTTGTTTCCATGTCAGTAAAAGAAGATGTTTTGGCTTAATACATTACAACATTGAATTTTGTCACTATTTAAAAATAAGGAGATGTGGTATGATTGCCAATGAGACAACTATCCACCAAAGTTCAAATGAAGTGGATGTAAGTAATTATCAGTGATTATAGGCAACCGTACGGCCTTCAACAAGTTTCCTATTAGGTGATTATCGGGTTTACATTGAAACCTTGATATTTGATATCTAAACACATTAAAAATGCTTAGAAACACTCCACTCTTATTTCGTACAAACACGAAGCACGAAATATATTTGAAAAAGTAATACTGAAATAGACTTAAATATCTTCAATATGTTCAGTGTATTTGCTCAGGAACATATATACTGTTCCCAGATTTGCTACAGTAGTTGATGGTACATTGTATTGCAAAAATTACTTGAATATACAAATGTCAATCAATAATTTAAGATACCGGAAAACGTAAAAAAAAAATTCATCATTATCAAATTCAAATGCAATCATTGATAAACGGACAAATACATTAATATTCAACCAACATACCTTCTGCTGACTGTTTTTGTTGAATATCTTCAATATATCTTACAGTCATTTCCATTATATCTGCTTTCTCTAACTTGACACTGTCCTGAAATATTAAAAAAAAATAATAATTATAATAGTTTGAAATAATAAGTAATTGTGGGTTATCGTCTATTCATTAATTCTGCAACATGCTAGCAATTATTATTGTTAGTGCCGGAACTCTGTCCATGCAAATATTTTCACAGACATTCCAATTGCAAAATAAAAATAAATCACGTAAGGATTAACGACTTTATCAATCAGATCAGACTTAAGTCTGAAGGAAGTGTGAGTGTCATCCGACTAAGTCAATATCCAACAGGTAAACATGGCACTGTATATTATATACCGTATTATTCACTTGTGATATACTGTAAATAATCCCCAGGCAGACGACTGCGCGTGTCACCGATAATGATGTACAAACATATTAATTATCTTTGACAACCAATTGAAATGTATCAAAACATAATTTTCAAAACTCGGAGAAATAAAATTAAAATTTTGTTTGTTCTTTGTTTTCCAATTTAATTTTTTCGTAAGTTTAGAAAAAAAACACACTTATGATAGTTTGGAAAACAATTTAAAATAAAGGTGAAAAGTCGACAAAATAAATAGAAAAAAATGCGATTAATAATTTTTTACCTATAATAAATTCCAAACTACTAGTGTGTTCTAACCAATGATTTGTTTAGTAAATCTTACTATATAAATCCTTGGTAACTTCTAACCAAGTACACTCTTTCAAAATATTTAATTCTATCACTATGTTCCTTACCTCCTTGTTAGTACCACGTAATACTAATGTCTTAAGGTCTGACAGTCTGTTGTTTATCCTTTCACGCCGACGTTTCTCTGTCAAAGGTTTGTTGGTCTGGAATTAAATTAATTTAGAAACGTAAATAATTATTTACTATTTAATATCTATCATATTTTCAAATACATATATCAACATATTCTTTGCTGACATACGCATCAGCAATAGATTGTGTCGGACAGTTGAATATATATATTTTTTGAATGCACGTCGTTTCGAAACCTGGTCGTTTCATACCTGCACCCATATTTTTTAATGAGCTCAACTTCACAGTCACACTCCACACAACAAAATAGGGAAGATACTGGTATTTGATATATCAAAATATAACTAATCAATATTCTATATAGTAATGTTTTATATAATAAAAAAATGAAACCAAAATTTATGAATAAAAAAAAAATGAAGTATTTGAATCGTTTGTTTTTGATGAAAAAAAAAATTTAGTTATAATGATTTTAATATTATAATTAAAAATAGTATATTACCTTTCTTTTCAGGGCCTGTAATTCTTTGCTGTTCATTATGTCTGTTGATTTATCCTGTCAGCTTTTTTTTGTGAAGGTGTAATTTGGAAATGAAATCCACGTTCAATATCTTAAACTATATCAAGACAGAAAAATGAAACCAGTTGACTCTTGTACTTTTGTCAGACACGTGCCGACTTCAGTCTTGTGCTTTATGGTTTCTATCTGTAAAGTGGTGTATAAATATACCTGGCCATGAGTATTGCCACCGCTATACCCTGGGAGATTAAATAAGGCGTGGCTTCATGTGTCTTTTAAATTGTCAATTAAGGTCTATATTGCTGTCAACACATTACAGACTATTATCGTTAATTGCCATTTCTATGTCTCAATGAAATGAATACATGTACCCGCAGTTTATTTAAGAATATGTTTTTATTGCAATTAAGCCACCTTTACTTGCGTATGTATTCACGTGCAGGTGCTAAAATATGATGTCGAGAGTAGATATAGAATAAGATTTTTAATTGAACGGACTATTATTGGACTGTTTTGATTATGAACATGTCAAATTCATAATCCAATTTAAGATACTATTAAAATGTTTTACCATTAGTTCACTTTGAAAGAGATTTTTTTTGCTATTTTTATTGCATGGTATCAGTGATATTTGACGTGAAATCCGACTTATAAACATAAAATATGATTTCATCTGATAACATATACAATGGAGATTACCGTTTAATATCGATCTTCATATTCGAACTAAGTTTTAATACCTTTATATTCTTTCATTCTATCAAATAAGATTAAGGTATAAAACTTCTGTGAAAACTTAAAGTGTCACAAAACTTTTCTCGTCCTAAACATGCATGAAAAATTTCAAAGCAATCAACAATCAATTATAAGACACTTCTTAAAATGGTCTATCGGAAGGTGTATTTTTAGATATGAATTCTTACACGAAAAGGATATATTTTGTGGTACTATGGAGCAATTTACGAACCAAGTCTTTATCTGTTTATTGATCATAAATGGTTATTTGCAATAAACGGTTAAGTGTAAAATTTTCAAACATCAGTAACTTTTAAGATTAAACCTTTATGACATGTAACACAACTGGAAAAGACGCTTATTCTTGATCAAGAAATAGCAACTGAAGAAAAGGTGTATGTTCTTATATTTTTCCATATTTTACGGATAAATGGACTTAATATCTGGTAGTCAACATTATACTTTTACTCTGCTTTTACACTGCAATCTCATTCATTCGTTTGACCTTCGGGGCCAACAGGGGTCATCCGTACCAAATAGATACAATATAGACAACACGATATGCAGAAGGGGTTTTACGGCTGACAAATTGCATTTTGGCATTTTTAATAGGAACACCAACCCACTGTGTATTATTTGAAAATTGAATCGGTTTTGGTATGCATGCGCTCGACATGCTTTCTGGAATAAGAGGATCAGGTACACTCTAGACAGACATTTTGGAAGACAAATAAATAAAACATTTCACTCTAAGAAAAGTAAAAGTATTAGAATCGTCTCTGGTCAACTTTTAAAACACTAGTCAGTTTCAAGCCTATAAGTAAAAAATACAATGGCACCAAAAGTCGCGAGAGAGTGCAATGCAGTTCCCTTCTCAACAACTCCGACAATTCCAAACTTTGACGTCATTTGGTAGGTATGTGGTGAATGGATAGTTGTCTCATTGGCAATCATACCAAATCTTCTTATATTTATAGTTAAAGTGTAGAGAGGTGTACCAGCAACTGTGGGAAATTGAATGAGGGCATTGAATGGTACTAAATCTGAAACAGAATCTGCTAATTTAACGAGAATCTCAACAACAAGAATAGCAGGAGAACAGTTCATTTCAAAAAGAAAACAAAAAATATTTTGAGCATGCACATTAAAAGATAACAAAGTTAAAAGTTTTATTTATTTGAGAAACAGTCGTCCGTTGTAGGTTTTTAAATCACCAGAGAATAGGACAGTAAATTGAAATTGCTGGTAAACTGGCGTTAAAAGCTGCAACCCTGCATGTATATTTATCGGTCGTCCCACTGTCTATATCACTCTGCTCTGCTCTTAATATTATTCCATATCACGGCTTTGTGACGTCAAATACGTTGACCCGGCCTTAATAACTTTGAACCAGACATATCAGCGACGTCATAATGTTTGAACCAACGTTGATAAGTTTGACCCGAACTTATCAAATCCTCTTCCGGATGCTGGTGAAACTAAGAAAACACTTCCAAAAGACGTAAATACAGCCCGATAAATCGGTTATCAGGTTATCTACATATTGATATTGTAAAATATCAACAAGCAGACAACCTGATAATCGGTACATACCTCTTGAGTTTTAGAAGAACGGTAAAAAAGTGCAATTGTTGGTTTCATTTTAAAGCGTATCACAAGTTTGTATATAGTATTGTTGATCCTAGTGAAGTTGAGAGATTCTTTTCATATATATATTCACGATTTCAAGATAAAGAAGTAGAGACGCAAAAATTTGATAATAAACGTCGTTTGTAAATCTATTTTTAGTCTGCCTAATATCTTGAACTAAATCTACAAATTCATAATGATCGATTGAGAAATACACTTAACAATAACGAAGATGATTTCAACTTTCCTATTGTAAACTTTCTATTTCCCTATATCAACATTTCAGCAGCACCTACATATGGATAATATCCCAGTTAATACAGTTTTCCTGATCTTGCGTTTCCTATCATGATGTCCTTGACAAAGGACTGTGCTAACATAAAGTCTATGTAACCAACAGTTTCTGGTGGACAAGTTATATTCGTTTGTCGGAAAGGAACAGATATGTTTCATGAAATTCACACGAACCCTGCAAAAAGAAGTTGCAAGTTTGCTTTAGCATGAAACAATTGAATGTACCATCCTCAACACAAGAGACAATAAAGCTCAGGTAAAAAATTACTAATTTCAACAGAACTTTTCACATTTATCGATTCAACACAGCCCTACAGACGCCCCTCTTTAGTAAGGATTATTAGTGCCGGACGGTAAAGGTCCAGTGACACCCTCTTATTTTACTTTATGGCTAGCAAAAGGGAACGACCATTTAACTTAAAGGGGAAAGGGGGGGGGGGGGGTTTCTGATCCCCAATTTGATGAAAAAAATATATTGGTTAAGCAGATGACAAAAAAATATTCTGAATCCAGATTTTCCCCATAACTTATAGTGTTAAATTTTGAAAAATTCATTTGATTTATAGCGTCGAAATACTAAAAGCGCGAAATTGTTTTCTGAAAAAGACATTTAATCCCACAATGCTTTTTAAGGATCATGGACAGGACTTGAAACTCGAAAATACTAGGCAATCACATCATGTATCAGTACGTGACGGTGTGTTTATGTCAATTCGCGTCAATTTCTAAATGAAGTGCACTCGACTTCATTCATACAACCGAACAACTATGACAACGTTTTGAACGCGTAAACATAGTTTTACTAACTAGGCACTTTCTTTAACATTCTCACACAGTTAAGACACATGGCCGATACAAAGAACAATGCCATTTTATTTTTTATACCGACTTCAGGATAAGTTCGGATATCAGCAAGCCCGAACGGGCTTGATTGTTATTCTTGTAGATTAAATCAGTATCGAAAACATAAATGTCAGCATTCTATATCTACTTATAGGCTAATACTGGTATACTTTTTTAAAATAAACAATTGGGCATCAGAACATATTATGTGTCAAATACATCCTGACCCGAATTCATCAAAACTGAAACAAAACAATTTTGTAGAATGAG